CTATAGACATACAAAATCGGGGAACTATGACTCTTAATACCCAGTGGATCTCTCACTTTGATTGGCATACTCCTCCGTACTTCGTATTTCAGTCACCACGTCAACACCGAAAGGCTATTCGAACACCGACATGGCTATTAATAATCGCCAAAGGGCATTCGGCGAAACAGAACGCATCGCCGATGCATGCAGGTATTAGGGCACCTACATACATCACACGCGACCGTTAGGATTCAAATCCCGAAGAAAGCTCCGGAGTAGAAGTATACAGGGCAGTTGCTACATATGTACAAGACCAAGATGTGCCGTATGAACTTGAAGTATAACTACTAGTAATATCGTAACTCACCACTTGTGCACATCAAACCAGAAACCACCTGTCTACGTAAGTACCACTCGGGCCCTAATCGGCCTGAAGAAGATCACTCGGCAGATCAACTCATCAATTCCCCTCGGCATTTCGAGCAGTTGGCGCCGAACTGGTACGGAGATGATTGAATTTGCACTTAAACCCTTGTGGGGAACCGGAAAAATTCTACATCGGACTTAAAGCCGAGGTGATCTGAAAAATACCTCGTCGAACGTGCGCAGAACTCGGACTCGCACACAACGAAGGTCCGACTAGTGACTCCTCCCCCCCCCTCCCTCTCTCTCCAAGTGCCCCAGTTACGTAGCAGGGCGCGATTTACTAGTTCGTACCTTAGATGGAAAGAAAGAAGAAGCCTTCTAGAAAACCGTCTCTATTTTTTTTACCTTGATCACCTCTCCATCTCTCCATTTCCCCTCTCTCTTCTTCTTTCTCCTCCACCGCTTTCGGCCGCAATCATTTCATCATCGAAAAGGCCCGTGAGCTCGACCATTAACTCCGCCTTCCATTCGTCGTATTGCTTGCTATTACCCAAATCTTTGACTTTGACTGTATATTTTTCTCTCTAATGTTCCCGCAAGGAGGGCGATCGCTCAGATCACACTAAATATCGGATCGCCCGCCAAGCCCGTTCTCCTTACTCTGTACATGAATCCCACCCCCGTCACCATGGCCACCACCGGCGTTCACAGTGAGGACGATGATCCCGCTCTGAATGACTATCTGAATGATGACGACCCCTCTCAGGGCTCCATGCATGAGGGGTCCCCCTCAGACTCCAAGCTTGGATCTCAGTCCTTGCCGATGCAGAAGCGCAGACGAGTAGGTCGCGCTTGTGACGAGTGCCGTCGAAAGAAGATCAAATGTGATGGCAAACAGCCCTGTACCCACTGTACAGTTTATAGCTATGGTGGGATATTCCCTTCAACCCTCCCCTTCCCCGCTACATACCGGTATCACACGTGGCTAACATTCCATTCCCTAGATTGCACCTATGACCAACCCTCTAATCGCCGCCGTAACCCCGCCCCTCAATATGTCGAAGCCCTCGAAGCGCGTATGCACAAGGCCGAAGCCCTGCTACGAAGTGTAATCCCAGATATCAACCTTGATGACCCACAACTGGACATGCATGCGACAGAGCAGCGATTGAAGAATGCCCAGAAAGAGAAGCAAACACCATCCGCCCCTCTACCCAAGCCCCCAGTGGCCTCAACCGCCCCACCAGAGACCGGGCAAGAAGGAGGGGAGGAATCGCTGTTGGAGACAATGGTAGATAACTCAGGCTGCCTTGACCGCGACGATCAAGGACACTGGGATTACCATGGACATACCTCCGGCATCATCTTCGCGCGACGCCTACGCAAACAACTCGGCGCCGATATCCCCATCGCCCGGCCTCGCGGCATGTCCCAGATACTTGAGAGCCCCAAGTCTGTAACAGGGTCACCCCAGGATGCAGCATTCACACCAACCAACGATCTGCCAGATCGTGAAGTCGCTCGCCGCCTGTGTCACAATGCGATCGATCATGCATGCTCATTGATGCGGTTCGTGCACGAGCCTTCTTTCTTTGCCAACCTGGATCGCATCTACGAGACGCCCCCGGAACAATACACCAACGAAGAAAACTCATTCATACCACTTCTGTACATTGTAATGGCTGTTGGGTGCCTATTCTCTGACGATGGGGCTGGTACCCTGGATTTTGCTGGATACGAAGGAGCCATTGGCCAAGGGTATGTCGTATCACTTCGTCCCACCGGGGAAAAGCACTCCGTCCTGGTTAACTAACCATTTTGCAGTTTTGTCTTCTTCAAAGCAGGTCGGCAGTTGCTTGAAGTCACCGACTGCCGTGATTTGACTTCGCTACAAGCCATTTGCTTCATGATTCTTTTCCTACAGTCTTCTGCTAAACTGAGCACTTGCTACTCTTACGTCGGAATCGCACTCCGTTCAGCTCTACGCTTGGGTCTGCATCGTGCGGTGACTGCCGATTTCAACCCCATCGAGCGAGACTTGCGAAAGCGTATATTCTGGGTCGTCCGCAAGATGGATGTCTACGTCAGCACCCTTCTCGGCCTCCCTCAGATGTTGAGCGAGGACGACATTGACCAGGAATATCCCTTGGAAGTTGATGGTGATTTCATCACTAGTCAGGGCATCCTTCAAATGCCTTCCGATTACACTCCATTAATGGCAGGATGCAATGCGCACACACGCCTATGCAATGTCATTTTGAAGGTAGTCAAGTACATCTACCCCGTGAAGAATGCTCGTCATCGCTCAAAATCCAATCATCGGTACATGGTCAGCCATTCTAAGATACGTGAAATTGAGCGCGATCTTCAGACTTGGATGGAGGAGCTACCAGCAGCTTTGCGACCCGGCACTGAGGTGTCACCCCAACTGGAACGGTCAGTTTTCTAATTTAAATTCCCACTTCCAATGTCGAGAAAACATATCTAATTCCTGTCCCAGAATTCGCCAGCTACTCCGAATCAGCTATGCGCATGTGCAGATGGTCATGTATCGCCCATTCCTACACTACGTTTCTGGAGGGTCACAAGCGCGTGGCGTCGACAAGCGATCATATGCTTGTGCAGCAGCGTGTGTTAGTGTGTCTCGAAACATCGTTCATATCACGACTGGAATGCACAAGAGGGCCCTACTCAACGGCTCATTCTGGTTTACGATGTACACGACATACTTTGCCATTCTCTCCTTGATATTCTTCGTTCTTGAGAACCCTGACTCGCCCACGGCAAAGGACGGTGTTCTTAAAGATGCCATGGAAGGCAAGAATACGCTGGCTGGACTAGCTAAGAAGAGCATGGCAGCAGACAGGTGCTCTCAGAGTCTGAACGTATGTACTTCCCCTGCCCGGCGCATCCAATGCACCCAACTGACTAGACATTTGTAGTGCCTCTTCAAGACCTTACCAGAGATGTTGAAGAACCGCCAGAGCTCTAAGACCCCTGTTAACCTCAAACGATCGGCCCCCTCCGGTGTTTCTGCCGAGGCCGAGCCTGCTCAAATAAAGGCAGAACAGATGACTTTGCCTCATCGCTCAAGTACTTTCCCGGCACAAATGATGTCAAACAACCCCAAACTCAATCCGACAAGCCGTCGACAGAAGAGTATGGACACTACTACTCAATTCAACAACCGACCCACTGAGAGCGGCACTCAGTCGGCCTGGATGGCTGCTTCGCCAGAATTATTAACGGAAGCTATGTCCACACCTGAGCCTGTTTCCGCGACTTCTCTTGCCTCCTCATTCTCCAACCAAGACCCATCAAGCTTGGCATGGGCCCAGCAATTTAGCAACCCGAACAACCTCCCTGATCTCATGCCTATGATGTTCCCGTCCGACGACCCCTTTGCTTATCCCACGCAGCCCATGTCAACATTAGAAGACGACCACTTCCGACATGACCAAGCGGGCAATCCCCAGCCTTCTTTCCCTTTCGATCACTCCGCAGGAAGACCTCCTAGTACTCCAGGCGACCCTAATATGCCGTCACCCAATTTCGATAGCTTCAGCAACCTCCCTGGCTTCTCTGTCGGAACACACGGCGGCATCAAATCTTCGGTGCCTAACCGCCTCCAGGCTGGCAACACTCAATCCATGAACTCCTCCCGAATGAATTCGCCCATTTCGCAGGTGCAGTCGCCAAGCGAAGCTCTCAGCAGCCCGGATTTGGTTTCCATTCCGAATCAAAACTTCGTTTGGCAAGGGTATAATTTCCAACCGAGTAATATCGCACCCCAGCCTCCGACTTCCCAATCCCAAGAAAACCCGGCCCCAAATGGCAATGGCAACGGCAACGGCAACGGCAACGGCATTTTAGATTTCAACATGGGCCTGGACGAGAATGCCATGGGCTTGAAAATGGAAGGAATATCCTTCGACGATCTCTTCGGGAACAATGCTGCCTACAACCCAGGCAACTTGGCTTCTAACGATGACTGGACTCAGTGGATGAATGCCGGCTCCTGAGCTAGTCTTTGCTCTCATGATGAAATGCACTAACGATGGAAGTTGAAATAAAAAAAAGAAAATGGGATATTTATACCTGGCTGGCGTTTCTTGTTTGCAATGAGGCTTTTGATAATTTCTATTTGATCTTTGTGAAATAACGAGTATGCGATTCCTTGATCGCTGTAGACGACTTCAAGTTTGATATAACCTTGGAATGCTCCGAATCATAATCTTACCTTCTAACTAAATGGCACGGATTAGATCTGATTATCTCCAGCGTACCCTGGATACTCCGTAGAATTCTCGACGATCTTCTTGTCTCGGGCTACCATGATCGGTTTAGATCAGACAAGAGACCCACTTAGAGACTTCTGGTCCCGAGTGCGCCGACACTCTTGACTCTTGACACTCTGTAAGAACGACATGGCCCAACCAGACAAGCTTTTTGCTGGGCACTCCAATCCGCAACACCTACGGTAATACTAGTAGGGAAACGCAGCGACAGAGAGCTGCTATCCGCTCTTCCGACCTCGCGAGCATTACGACACCGCGGTCGCATGGATCACTAGCCCTCCAATCCATACTATACATTATTTATTTATTTATCGCCAGGGTGTTACATCAAGGCAGCCCAATACCGCGATCCAAATGGCGTCGATGCCGAAGTTGTCAAACGTCATTTCGTGGCTGATATACCTCGTGCCCGTGTACATCTTCGTTCTCAACCCGCTCCTACAACAGTTCTTCCCAGGCGCCTTCAACCCCTGGGAGACCAGCGACACATTTGGACACTGGGACGGCGAAGCCCTAGGTATCAACATCACAGACGACAGCTTCATCAGCCCAGAGGATGGCGTCCCGTTTAATTGCGCCAGTGAGCCGGAGGGGTACCGAGTGCATCTCCTCTCGCGGGCGCCACTCATCTTATATATTGAGAACTTCCTCGGCGCCGAGGAAGCAGACCATCTAGTCGATATAAGGCAAGACCATACCGTCCCTTACCTTCCAAGCTACCCCAGCTCAATACTACGTCACGAAAACCCGAAGGATGAAAATACACAAGCTAACACGGAGAGAATTCGTCCAGTCTGAACAAATATACCCCCTCCATCGTCTACGACGGTATAACCGAACGAGTCGATCCAAACAAGCGCCTCTCCGACCGAGCCCTACTCGACCGCGACGACACAGTCCGCTGCCTCGAGGAGCGCGCCCGCGCTTTCCAGGGCTGGCGCCCAAACCTGTATATCGAGCGCATGTGGGCGCAACGCTACAATGCCTCCGGCCATTACCGGCATCATTATGACTGGACCGGGTCACTGGCGCGCGGCGGCGACCGGCTCAGTACCTTCATGGTCTACCTGGGTGCGGACTGTGAGGGCGGGGAACGAACTTCCCCCGTCTGCAGATGCCGGTCGGGAAGCAATGGTGCCGATTTCTGGAATGCGAAGACGAGGATGACGAGGAGGCCCAGGCGGGCGCGGACGAACGGGGGTCGGGGCCAGGGGCCGAGGCCGGGGCAGGAGAGGATGGTCGCTTGGCGCGGTCAAAGAAGGATGGTATCACGTTCAAACCGATTAAGGGAAATGCGGTCTTTTGGGAGAATCTTCGGGCCGATGGGACTGGGTATACCGAGACCTGGCACGCTGCGTACCCCGTCACGTCCGGGACCAAGGTTGGGTTGAATATTTGGAGTTGGTATCAGCCTCCGAAGAGGAGACGAGGATGAGGATGAGGAGCAGGAGCTGAGAGCTGAGAGATTGGGCGGACTCGGCGGAGGAGTCTGGGCTGACGAGATTGGAAGGCTTGGGTCGAGTTGGAGTTGGAGATGGGGTTGGGGTTGGTGTTGGGGGTTACCCCGGCCAAGACCAAGGCCAGGTGGTGCGGTGTTACTGTGCACATAGTGTTTTAGTCACACTGCTGACTCGACCCTCCAAAATAGAATAGACTGTACAATTCAATAGAAAGACATAGCAATCAATGAATGCCCGACCAGGGGGGGGAGGGACATGGGAGAAGTGAAGGGCGAAGGGCGACTGGCTACTTCCTGCTTCACTAGCCGCCTTTGTGCCCCCCTCATCTCCCAATCTCACCTACCACACTTTAGGGGGCAAACACCCAAGCCAGGGATAAGGCACTTCAAATTCAGGCAACCGCATAAAACCAGACACCGGATGAAAGAGAATGTGGTCAGTCCAGTGCCAAGTACGAGTGACGCCGAGGAATCCAAATATACCAAGACACCAAGACACCAAGACCCCTCAACTCTTGGGCCTCGGAGCGGGAATTGGCAAAGAGGAAAGCCTTGGCTGCCAAGAAACATCGCCATGGCTAAGGATTCTTGGCAGGTTGTAGCATCGCCACTATTTCACTCCTTTCACCAGCATGTCGACAAATGAATTGAGAGGATTCCACCGAAAGCCGGAACTGTACGGAGCCCTCGGGGTCCGACTTTTAATAGGTCCATCCAATCGGCCATCGACGCCCGGGAGATAGGAATTTGAAATTAAATTACCCTCACCATAGTCAAAGTATACCGGGATTGACGCCAGATTTGGAGGGGCCAGCGCTTGGGGTCATTTCCTCCTATAGGGTACTCGTACCAGAGTACCCCGTACGGAGTACAGAGAGTACACTGTACTCCGTAGGGAGTAGGGAGAACCACTTCGTATTGACTTTGCAGGGGGGGGCGGCCACCGTGGAATGCACAGCCCCTCGTTAGAGAGGGGGAAACCTCGTAGTGGCAACCAGTCAGAAAGCCTGAGCCAAACGCCATTCGGGGATTCTGGGATTCTGGGCCCGCAGACGAGTCTTGGCCCGGTCTTGTCGTCTTGTCTTGTCTTGTCCCTGTGCCATGCCTCCGCCCGGCCCAGCAAAGCGCTTTTTTCTGGGCAAAGGCTCGGCTCTTTATTTCCTCCCTTGTGATTCCCCCATGCGGAGTTCTCCCCCAGTTTTCTCACTCTCTCTTCTCTTCTACACTTCAACTTTCCCATCTCCTCTGTCTTTGGCTTGGATTTATTGGAATTTAAGAAGAAACTAAAAAAAAAAGAGAAAAGAAAACTTCTTTTCTTTTCGCCTGGACCCAATCTCTCGCACATATTGGATTTGTGCTAGAGAATAACCAACTTTGTGTCTGGTTTTCTCGTTCTACTCCTCTCCCCTAACAGACGTCGTGCCTGGGCATCCCGCCAGCTCGACAAGATCCATTTCTTGGCATCATGGCCGACAACACCCTTCCTCAAACATCACCTTCCCAAACTGCCGCAGCACCATCGCCTGTCGTTACTGACACCGCTGCCCATGCTGTGCCGCAAGTGACCACCCCGTCGACCGCCTCGGTGACTGCGACCGCCGCCGCCGCGACCGCTGCCGTTAACAACTCACTCAACGGTGCAGGCGAGCAACTGCCCTGCCAGTGGGTGGGTTGTAGCGAGAAGTCCCCAACTGCCGAGTCACTCTATGTAAGAAATAATCAGGATATCCCGCGTGATGAAGTCCCAACTAACCATTGCCCCGCGACAGGAACACGTTTGCGAGCGCCATGTCGGTCGCAAGAGCACCAACAACTTGAACTTGACCTGCCAATGGGGAACCTGCAACACCACGACTGTTAAGCGCGACCACATCACCTCGCACATTCGTGTGCATGTGCCTCTCAAGCCGCACAAGTGTGATTTCTGTGGCAAAGCCTTCAAGCGTCCCCAGGATCTGAAGAAACATGTCAAGACTCATGCCGATGACTCGGATATTCGCTCTCCCGAGCCTGGACTGAAGCATCACCACGATATGATGTTCAATCAGAACCCCAAAGGTTCGTTTCTTTCCCGGTTCTTTTGTTCCATCTCTCCCCCCCCCCTCTTGCGAGTCAATCGCTCTTTTAATATCTCGCCTTCTCTGCGCGTTGTGCTTTGGCTAATCTGATTTCGCGAATTTTCAGGATATGCTGCAGCGGCTCCTTATTTTGATACTCCAATTCACGCTGTCTCCGGTGGTGGATATGCCCACGGAGCCCCTCAGTATTATCAAGCAGCTCACGCACCGCCTCCTGCTCCCAACCCTCACTCATATGGCAATGTCTACTACGCCTTGAGTCAAGGTCACGAGGGTGCTCAGTCGTACGATCGCAAGCGCGGATACGACGCTCTGAACGAGTTCTTTGGTGACTTGAAGCGTCGCCAATTCGATCCCAACTCTTATGCTGCCGTGGGCCAACGCCTGCTTGGTCTCCAAGCACTCCAGCTTCCCATTCTTAACGGTCCCGTGCCCGAGTACCAGCCCATGCCCGCTGCGGTTCCCGTTGCTGGCGGCGGCGGCGGTGGCTACAGTCCCGGTGGCGGCCATCCCCCTGGATACCACCTGCCTCCCATGTCGAATGTTCGGACTAAGAGTGACTTGATCAACATCGATCAATTCCTAGAGCAGATGCAGAACACCATCTATGAAAGTGATGAAAATGTAGCTGCTGCTGGCGTCGCTCAACCCGGAGCTCACTACGTCCAGGGTGGCATGAGCTACCGCACCACCAACTCGCCCCCAAGCCAGCTTCCACCCCACCATGTCACCGCGGCCACTTCTGCTCCGATGATGGCCACTGCCCACTCTCCTTCGACTGGAACCCCCGCCCTAACACCGCCGTCTAGCGCCCAGTCTTATACATCGCAGCGCTCACCCATTTCCCTGCCTCAGACCCACCGCGTCTCTCCGCCCCATGAGAGCGGCGCGGGCATGTACCCCCGTCTGCCCTCGGCGACGATGGCGGATAACATGACTGCAGGCTACCCAACTGCCACCAGTGCGGCACCCCCATCTACTCTCAGCGGGGCCTTTGAGCACGATGACCGCCGCCGCTACACCGGTGGCACCCTACAGCGCGCGCGACCTGCCGAACGCGCAATGAGCGTGGATCGCATGGACACTGAGCAAGATAGCAAGCCTCAGGACGGCGACCGTACTCCTACCAAGAAGAGCCCTCAGTTCGCCGAGAGCATGATTGACCCTGCTCTATCCAGTGGCTCCCCAGATCCCGACCAAGAGGCCGCCCAGCGCACAGCCCGCGCAGCCACCGAGGTGGCTGAGCGAGATGTCAATGTCGCATGGGTAGAAAAGGTCCGTCTTCTGGAGAACCTTCGTCGTCTGGTCTCCGAATTGTTGGAGGAGGGCCAGTTCGACCCCGAGGCTTTGGCCCGCAGCGGCTCGGGTTCTCCCGCACCCAGCGCTATGGAGGGTGTTGAGACTGCCAGCACGCGGGCTTCTCCTGCAGTTGCCAAAGAGGAGCCTACCAAGTCCGAAGCCGAGCCGGTCTCCTACCCGACTTTGCGCGGGCTGGACGAGGACGGAGACGCTAAAATGCCCAGCGAGGAATAGGTGGTGTGCTTTTTTCTTTCGCTTCTCCCAGTTTCTTAACGCCGTCACGACTATTTATCATTCCTAAGTCCATCCTCTGGTGGGATCTTCTCTCCCATTATTCTTGTCTAGGCTTGTTTCTTTTGTTTGCCCTTCTCTCTCGCAAGGGCCCCTTTTTTCTATCTATACTTTGACGGTTTCCATCGCTTGGAACATCTCTGTGATTTTTATATTTATTTCTCTCTCTTTTGTTCTCTTTTCTACCATTAGGGTAGGATCCACGAGATCTCTCCCCTTTTCGAGAACGGTTTCCATCTGTATGAATAGGACTGCGTCTCTACGCTGTTTATTTACAGTAATGTTTGCGTCCACTATCCACTTGTCCCAGAGTTAAATCCACCTAAGCTTCAGTAGAGTTGTAAGGTTACATGGATCGGAGATTTCGGATCTCGATTCAATCTTGATTTCACGATTTCGCATCGCCGGAGTTGGCGAGGGTATCGATATTTGATCGACACGTCAAGCCCCAATAAGGCAACGCGACATTCCAACGGGCGAGGCTAAACTGCATCCGGGGTCCCCTCTGACGCAAACGACCCCATGCGGGAGATGGGGCAGCCGCGGAGGTAGATCTGAGATGGAGGGGCCCTGGTATGTGAACATTGATTGTCAGGTGAAACTTGGACTTCCAGGTATGAGGGAAGAGGGGCGAATTGGAATGGATCTATAGATCATGGGGAAGATTGGGGGATATGTGGCGATGGTGATCAACCCCATATAGTTCGTATAGTAAACCTTTGGAACTAAACAAATAACGATCAAAAGGCGAACCACTTACCTAGGAAGCTCCAAGACACTCAGGTGCTACCTAGGATGGTCATCGATTTCCGAATGGCCCCCCTTGGATCCCATCGGCCCCTCCTCCAGCGTAGGATGTGAAATGGACCGATCTGCCCAACTCTGCACTCGGAAGCATCCTCAATCCCACGCTGAGCACGTAATGATGCGTAACGGTAATACACACATCTGCCCTTATCTCCCCCATCTCCCCCACCCATTTACCACCGTATCATACATTCTCTGACCGACTCCACCACTGTTTACGGTCAAACCGGGCGCACTTTTCACTTTGATTCTTCGGTGGCTTCTTTATTACTCCTGGTTCGTCTTTTCCACTTTCCACTTTCACCTTTCTTTTTTCCTCCTCTTCTTTTTCTTCTTTTTCTTCTTCTTCTCGATGTTCCTGGCCCAATAATCCGGTAGCTCTGGTGGTTTGCACGAAAAAAAAACACACGCTCCTCCCCACGCGACAAGGCGGTCAGGCCAAACAGACTCGCGCGTGTCGATCGTAGGGATTATCGATAATCAACATCCAGCCACACAACTTTGCGACTTCGGCGTCATCGCCTTTGTCTTGAATCGGCTTGTTGTTTCTTCCTTTTCGTCTGGCTTTGCCGCTCTGATTTTTTGGCATTAGTCTTTTCTCTTTTTTTCCCACATTCCCGCTTTCTTGTCCCGGTGGCAAATCCATCTATTTGGGTCTGACGCTGTCGTTCTCTGGTTCTGCCTCTGAGAGTGTCTCCGAGACTGGGGCGACCGTTGAATCCGGATCCAAAGTTGATCCCTCTTGTTGTGTTTTTCTTTCGCCTTGTCGCCTCTTACTCACTCCCTGGGTTCATTCATTGTGGACTCTCGCTCTCGTCTCTCCTCATTTATTCCCCCCCCCCCGCGTCTCTCCTCACTAGTGCGTGCGCATCTCCTCGACGCCTCGGCTTGATTGCCCACTTTCGCAAGGAAAATTCGATTTCTGCGCCCATCGTTGCGCCGATCTGTTGATACTCCAAATCAAACCCGATCCGCTGGACCGACACCCAAAATGCCTCTCTCAAACCGCCGTCGCGCGCGGCGCAAGGAAATTCAACTGCAGGAAACGTCCGATGTGGAAGCACCAGACTCGTCGCCCACTCGCCCGTCCGCAAAGAAGCGCAAGGTTAGTTCGAAAGTCCACTACGGTTGTTTGGTCCAAAACCGAATCGCCCCGTGCGCGTGGATCAGAAGGCTAAAACAGAATCCCATTGTTTACAGGTTGATCGTCGTACCTCCCCGCCTCGAAGCGCCGTGAAGGCCGAGTCCGGCGACGAAGCCGAAGACTCAGTTGGTGACCATGACCAGTCCACGCACCAGGATGTGACCGACCTAGTGATCTCCTACTTGAACACACCACCCAAGAAATCCGCGTCTCGCGCGACCACTCCAACCAGAAGACCGAGAACAAACAAAGTATCGAGGCCTACGCCAAAATCGCCGGCCGCAACTGGACCTATTACGTCAAAACCCTACATGTCAATATTGGCCGCGAACCCGATCGCGAACAGAAGTCTACAGAGCAGTCTAGCCCCGTTACGATTGCCGCTCGTGCGCTCCCCGATGTGCATGTCGACCTAGGCCCGAGCAAATTCGTTTCGCGCCTGCATGCTGAGATCTTTTATGATGGGGAGCAGGCGCCCGCCTGGCATATCCGGGTCAATGGCCGCAACGGTGTCCGACTGAACAATGGGATCCTCAAACGTGGAGCCGACGCTGTTCTTCACTGTGGTGATATTATCGAAGTCGCCAACTCTCAGATGATGTTTGTTACTCCCGGCGACGACCCCAACGTTCACCCCAGCTTCATTGAGCGCGCCCAGCGCATCGCCAGTGGCCAGGAACCGGACCCTGCTTCCGTCGCATGGGACGCTTCGCAGCACGCTCATCCACAGGCCTCACAGGCCACCGAACCCGCGCGGCCATCATCCTCTGGCGGCCCTTCGCTGGCTCCTGCTCCCAACCTCCGCCAGCGACAGGTGACGCCTCCTCCGCGTTCTCCTGGAACCGACGGCCAGCGCACGACCAAGCAATCCCCGCTTTACAACCGAGGCATGATGATGGAGAGCACTGAAGAGATCGACTATAGCAAGGATGCGGCGAAGGATCTGAAGCCGCCGTATAGCTATGCTACACTTATCGCGCAGGCCATCTTTTCTAGTGAAGAAGAGAAGCTCACCTTGAACAGCATCTATAACTGGATCATGGACAAATACGCCTTTTATCGTCACTCCCAAAGCGGTTGGCAAAACTCCATCCGCCACAACCTGTCACTCAATAAGGCATTCCAAAAGGTACCGCGCCGAACGGATGAGCCAGGCAAGGGCATGAAATGGCAGATTGCCGCGGAGCACCGCGAAGAATACCGCAAGAAGCAGATGCGCAAGGGTGGCCCCCAGTCCTCCGCGCCATCGTCTCCCGCGACGAAAGAGCCTCCATCTTCGGCACGCGGCACCCATGTCTCTAAACTGGATACATCATTTTCGGCGACGGCCAAGAAATCTCCGCCTGTATCCTCGCCTGGCTTCAGTTCATTCCCGGTAGCTCCGGTGGAAGCTTATACTCCAGAACGAGGCTCTCGGGCCGGTCGTGGTGTTGGTTCCGACCACCCATTGCGACATATGAATCCGCGGGATTACGACGAGCCATCCCCCTTACCAGCTCGCAATCGCAGCACCGTCAACTCTAGCCAAGTGCAGAACAGCAGCAATAATCTGAGCCGTGCCTACGGGCTGTCAGATAATGCCGCTGGCTCCCCGCCAGTCCTGTCCTCATCATATTATGATGACGGTCCTTCGTCCATGATAACGCCTGCCCCACAGCGCCAGCAGCCCCGTCTGCCACCCCCCAGCACGGCGCAGATTCCGTCAAAGTTTATGCCAATGAGCTCTCCGGCTCAATTTTGGAAATTCGCCGACATTGGCAGCACACCGGCACGCCCTGTCCCGGACATGAGTCCTCTGAAGGGTGAGCCCGAGGATCGCATCATTGGGGGCTTTCCGAGCAGCAGCCCGCCCCCGCCTAACCTGGTTAGCCCAAGCAAGCCGGGAACATCCAACGGTCTCGGATCTAGCCGCACGCTACCCCCGCTGCAGTCCGATGGTCCAGATATAAACCCTAATGGGGCACACAAAGAGGATTGTATGGAAGAGGAGGATGAAGAGGACACAGGTGGTTTTGATCTTGCTCGGTATGGTTCTCTCCTCGTGACCTAGGTCTCCGTTTGAAAACACTGAACAGTGGCTAACTAAATATACAGGGGGTTCCAACCCATTGGCTCTTATCATCGACAGCTGAGCAATGCTGCCAGGGCCACTGCTACCTAGGCCATTTTTACCACTTATGATGTACAACATGTTTGAAACAGATTGTATTTCTTGCTGTTGCGCTCCGCATTCACTGGCGTTGGCTGGCTTTATTCTTTTTGGTATTGTTAACTTTTGATTTTCTTTTCCCTTTACTATTTCTTTTTCTTTTCTTTTTCTTTTTTTGTTCAACGACACGGAGCAAAGAAAGGAGTTCCGATTTGAGGTATGGGCATTTGTTAATTTGTTGGATTCTTATTATCTCGGTTTGCTTGTCATTTAGTTTTTATGTGTATGCCATCCTGGACTCGATGGCTCTGTATTCATGGGTCAAAGCCATCAATGTATGATACATCCATACAATGCAATTAGCTTGTAAAAAGACAAATACTTTCCCGATCTCGTACGATGCCCAAGTAATTAGGTATGTATATGCCATGGAAGTTGACCTAGAGGACCCACTGTTCCCATAGACAGAATCATTTAGGCTTCACTAGTACTAAAAAAGGCGACCCTAGATCGATTCTAGTTGAGATTAGATTCACCAATCGGGAAGACTCCTGCCTAAGGTGACCTTCAAGTTAGGAAGGTACAGAATGACCCTCATTTCCCTGCTCCTTCCGAGCTCAGTACCTACTGATGCTAGTACTGGAGATAGTCGTGCCTTCCGTCCTGCCACGTTGAGCTCATGTGTAACACGCAGGGAAGGAACTATCGATCCCAAAAATGAAGCAACTTCCAAACTTGCAAACTTTCACACTTTCTCGAAAATTCAACGAGTTTCACCCTTTTGATGTTCGTCTCCGCAGTCCGCTTCCTCTTCTCTCTCTCCATCCTCAACCCATCCCAGCCCGTTTTCCTCTCTTCACTTTCTCACCATGGATAAGGTTATGGACGAGAAATTCAATCGACTGAACCTCTTACTTCAGGGCGATGAGGACCTTCAGCATGTGAACACTCAAATCAGCACGAGAATGAACGCCGGAAAGAAAGTTTCCGCACCGGGTCTCCAACACGGAGAAACTAAGGTGAGCACTCTCGAGCCAATCCTTGCTGGATCCCAATTGAGCAAGGGATACATGAGGTAATTAACAATGCTTCCTAGGTCCGGAAAACTCCCAAGGGCCGAAATATGAGAACTAACGAATGGACTGAATGGACACAGGAAGAGGCAATCGCAAGCTCCCCGGACAGCCCAGCATGGTGCTCCGCTCAAGGAATCTTTCCAAAGAACATCGATCTCGCCTCATCTTACTGTCCAATACTTGCGTTAAGAAACATTCCCCATAAGTTTTGTGATGATGAAGCCCGCAACAAAGCACTCGCCAAGTTCTTTGAAACAAAAACCCTCTTTGACAGAACCTGGACGCTGTAAGTTGTTGCAGACCCAATTATCCAGGTATTCAACCTGGTTCTAACTGCAGTATTCACTAGCCATTATCTTTCACTTCCACCGGGATGTCGTGGCAGAAGACTGCTACTTTTAGTGCCTCTGCAAGAGGCATACGACTACCTCAAAGAGGTCAACACGGCCCTGTCATGCGATGTGGCTATTACGGAAGACAAGGGTGAGGGTTTCTTTCTTCAATTTGACGATTCGAATTGCCCCAGGCCTACTTTACTAGGGGTTTCAACCTCACACAAGACAATGGAGGGGCTTGTAATCGACAAGTCTCGCAGAATCACAGGCTCTTGGGCGGATTGGATGTCCAGTTACCAACCGGCTGTACTGAAAGACCTTGAAGCGAAGATCGGTGATGCCCTTTACGCAGAAAAGAACTTGGGACGCAAGGAAAAGAAAGGGAAGAAGAAACGACTCAACGTACTGGAATACGCACGTGCGGGGGCTGAATGCATGGATCGCCTCCAGCAGTATTTCGGACTACGACCCACAGGTGCAGGAATCGGGAGAAGCATCTCACCGGTAGACGTGGACAGCCCTGCCCCATGGGCCTATCCAGATAGACCCATCATTTTCAGCGTGGATGTCGAATGGAAAGAAAGAAACGCAACTCATGTAACGGAAATCGGCATCTCGATTCTTGACACACAGGAGCTAAGGGGTCTCCATCCTGGACTCCATGGTACAAAGTGGATGAGCAAGATTCGATCGCATCATTTGCGTGTGTCGGAGTACCGGGTCCACATAAACAAGGACTTTTGCTCGGGTTGCCCGAACAGTTTCAACTACGGCAAGAGTGAGTTTATTGATTCCGCAAATCTCGGGAAGAGAATAGACGATTTCTTCTCGCCGCCGTACGATGGCGGTTCAACCGACCGTTCTCCGGAATCAAAGAAACGCGACCTTATTTACCTAGGCCACAATACCAAACAAGACCTCGAGCAACTTGCTGCCGCCGGGAGTGAGACTTTCAGGAAGATCTTGTTCAACGGGTCCGAGGCCATCTTTGAAGAGATGCTTGATACTGCCTCACTTTACCAGGGCTTGCGAAACGATGCCCAACTCACCTCGTTAGAGAATATGATGGCGGGTCTGAATACCTGGACACGGGACTTACACAATGGTGGAAATGATGCACGGTACACCATGGTCGCATTGATTATGATTGCTTTAGAGGCAGCAGGAGAACACGAAGCCGCTGTGGCCAAGGAGTCGCCTCCGGGTTCAAACATTTGAATTTTGTCACGGCGTGGAAGAACTGGTGATGCGGAACAGGTATGGAATTAAATTCAACAGGAGTCTTGACGGAAAAGTTTGTTATCATTACTGCTTTATACTTCTTCCCCACGACCGGCTCTAAGCCTTGTTTTATGGAATGTCTAGATTAATTGATAGTCAATCATTTCAATTTCCCCCCCCAGTTTGCTTTTAAATCAATAGGTATATCCCAATTGAAGTAGTGCCAAATTAGTGGATTAGGATCATCCTTTATGCTCACCCAAATAAACACTTAGGGCTTCCGTGGTACTGACGCCATAAGCACATCGATTTGACGGGCATCCCGTACCCCCACCTCAGCTCCTCGTATCTTTCTTTCGACCCCTCCAAAAAGAAAACCCGCCTCATCCCCGCGAAGCAATCAATTGCCTGACACCAATTGGCCAAGCTCCCGTTCTTAAAATGACCAGTCAAGTCCCTCTCACTTCCTGGCTCCTCGCCAGCACTCCGCAATCCTTCAAACGCGCCACAACACACCCATTCCTCGCCTCCGCAGGCCAAGGCACCCTCCCAAAAAGCACTCTCTCCCAATGGCTCTCACAGGATAGACTCTACGCACAATCCTACATCCGCTTCATCGGCTTCCTTCTCGCAAAAATCCGACTTCCCGCCCAGGCCTACAATCCCAACCCTAACCTTCCACAATCCACAGACGCCCAAGCCGTCAACGTCCTCATCGACGCCCTTGTAAATATCCGCACAGAGCTCCAATTCTTCGAAGCCACCGCCGCAGAATACAACCTGGATCTGACGGCCATTGCCTCGGAAGAATGCGGCGCGGGTCTTACAAAGAGCGGCAGTATTGCGACCTCCGCGGGCATTTCTACCATGGGCTCGGGCTCGTGTCCCGGGTTCACGGGGTCGGCGTGTCAGGGTAAAGGGTATTCTGCGGCGGCGGTGCAGAGCGGCGAATTCGAAGGGGAGGTTCAACCGCCTGGTCTGACTACGACTTGTGGACCGGATCTACATCGCCTATGCAATGCGCAGGGTGAATGTCAAATGCAGGATTGGAGTCAAACGTGTTACCCGCTTTCTCAGCAGCCTTCAAGTTCGAAGGAGGATGCGGGTGCGACGTCAATGTCGACGACATCTTCGAAATGCGAGTCTGGTCCGCAGCCCACTCGGGGATACCCTTCGTCTGTGACGCCTGTGGAGCCTGGTGGTACGGTTTACTTTGGGCCGACGACGATCACTCGTGCTTATATTGATATGTTTATGTCTTCGGCGAGCTCGGGGGCGTCGGTTATGGAGGGTATGGCTGTTCTGTGGGCGACTGAGGTGTGTTATCTCCGGTCTTGGAAATATGCGGCGACATTTTTGCAGGGGAGAGAGGGTCCTGCAGAGGATGATGCGGATGGAGGTTCGTTGAGGGATAAGTTTATTCCTAATTGGTCAAGTAAGGAGTTTGAAGGCTTTGTTGATCGCATTGGTGATGTTTTGGATAGTATGGCTGAGCAGACGAAGGGTGTGGAGGAGGCGGAGGCGATGCGCCGAAGATGTTTGGAGTGGTGGAGGCAAGTGGTTTGGTTGGAGGAGCGGTTTTGGCCGACTTTGGAGTGAGGGAATCTCCTCCAAAAATAAGTAGAATAGAATAGGAAATATGTATGGGGGCAAGTGAAGGTCTTTCAAACATGCAGAAGCTTACATTTTGGACAATCATATAAATATAGTCATTGGATGATCTACATACGATAAGACCAGGAAGTTCTAAGCAGATTACCTCTTTGGGCCACACGTGACGTTACTGCGGAACAACGATCGCCCGCATGTTTGGCACTGGCACGTACAGCTAAGAGTTGCGGCTGTCGCATCGCCGCCTTTGCCTTTGTTTTTCGTTTCATGACTGTGGCATAAAGGGTGTGGTCTCATCCAGTTCACGCTCTTTCAAGAGTTCCCGTCATTTCCCTGGTGTATCTGCACGGACTTTGGTAGACGCGTCTCCTGACCCGCAAGATGCCCATGACCGACGAAACAGACCACAGCGGCGGGGTTATCTTGGATGGACCTTTTGATCCAGATGCCCAAGCCACTGTGACTGATTACATTGACTATACCGAATACCTCCCCGCCGACATCATCCGTTCCCTCACTCTCATTCGCGGCTTGGATGATCGCTATCTCAAATCGGCGCAATCCGTACACGACCTCAGCAAGAGCTACGGTCACCTTCCTGATGTCGCGTCTGACGAGCGTCCTAGCGCCATTGAAATGCGCAAGAATATATCTTTACAACTCGACCGTGCCATCAATGCTCGCGAATCCTCCTATGCTGAATCTTGCCGCCTTTACGATGTCGTTGATCGCCACTTCGACCGCTTGAGCTGTATCCGTCAGAAGCTCGATGCCCTCCCTGAGACCTCCCTCTGAAGAACCGACTCCTCCTCCAGAGCCTACACCCAAACGTTCCCGCAAGAAGGAAACCGCGTCCACAACACGAATCACTCTCCGGTTGGACAATCGCAAGCGCAGTAGCAATCAAAAGTCAAGATCGCGCCGCCCAGGACTTACAGCGGAACATTTAGCCAACTTCAACCCGGATTCCCCCATCGATAGTACCGAACATTCCGATGCTGATGCTGAACCACAACCTCCACGCAAGGCCGCCAAACCACCGAAGAAGGAGAGGGAGAAGGTACGACGACCGAGTTCCGGCAATGGATTTTCCACAAGCAATGCTCTCGCGCTTCTCAAACCACCCCCAGCAGATGCAAAGGTTGGCAGTCAGGATTTGCCATGGCTGCGACTGACGGAATGGGAGATGACCAAATTGAGGAAGAAGATGAAGAAGAACGCCGTGTGGCAGCCCAGCGAGGTTATGATACACCGCGAGCTTGCCCTTTCTGGCCGTGGCTGGGAAGCCTATCGCGTTGCTAAGACCGCCGCGATTGAGGCCGGGTCTGAATTCATTGACTGTGATAACCTGGAGGAAACTCGTCATGAGGAAATGGTGAAGGATGCCGAGGAGACAAAGCTCAGCAACCGTGGTATGAAGCTGAACGAAGCCAAGAAATTGAAGCGTGAGATGATGGCACGAGAGGCCTTGCTCAATGGAGAGACGCCAACCAAGCCTATCCCCAGCCCCGTTCAAGCGACCCCAGCAAGTCGGTCCTCGCGGAAAAGAAAGCGAGACGAGATTGCGGCTGGAGAGGCCATTGAAGACCGAGTGGAGGCAGAAGAAGAAGTCACTATAGATCCAACTCCCGTGCTTTTACCGGTGAAGGTATCGTCAAAGTCTAGCTCGTCACGCCGCCGATCCAGTCGGGGAGCCGCTACCGGTGGATCGGCAGATGGAACTAGTGCTCCCATCGCCCCGATTTCGACCCGAGAATCCCCCGCGGTTGAAGAAAAGGCATCTCCACCTCCTCCGCCATCCCCAACTGGTTCACGACGATCAATACGGTCGATTGTACAGCCTGCTGGTACGCCAACTCCTTCCGTTACACGACCCTCGTCGAGACGATCTGCCGCCGCTTCAATCGAATTTGGAGCTCTGGGGGGAATATCTGCCAGTGCTACAGTCGGCGGGCGAGATTTCCGCATTAAGAGTGCTACCCCGGCCCGAAAAACACCTGTTCGAGAGCCGTCTCACGCGCCAAGTGTTCCTGCTCCAGTCCGACGGCGCAAGCGGCCCGCTCCAGGCCCTGTTTCCACCGGTCAAGATGGTGGTGCGGCCGTTAGTTACGGTCGTCGCAAGGCCAAGCCAGGCAAGAAACGTATCAGTACTGGAAAATCCCAGGAAACCCGTGTCGATGAAGATGGAGTTCTAGAGGAGATAGATTCCAATGAGCCGCGTTATTGTCTATGCGGCGACGTGAGCTTCGGTACTATGATTTGTTGTGAGAACCAAGATGTATGTCATTCCCTTCCCCACCTCTTCTTTTTTTCTGTTTTGCTTTCAGTGATACTAATGCCATGCGCAGTGTGATCGCGAATGGTTCCACCTCGACTGTGTCGGCCTTTCAGAGGTTCCCTCTCGTACCGCGAAATGGTACTGCCCTGAGTGCCGGGTGAGATTCCACAAAGGCCCGGATGGCATCGTCAAAGGCGGAAGGCGATGAATGAAACAATAGAGATGGAAGTACTTGCATGATACCACGGGAGATTTTCTGCGATTATTGGAATTTGGTCTGCTAGTAGGTATGGAGTTGTCGGTTTCGGCGTTATCACAGCAGGGGAACAATCGAGCTTTTTTTTAGCCTGCGAATCTGACATCTGCAATATTTCGATGATTCCCCCATGTTACTTTTAGCTCTACATTGTCTCTCTTATCTATAGGAGTTATTTTATTTCTTCGCTCAAGATCTGGTTCGTTTCACATTCTGTACAACTATACAATAATACTTGGCATCATTTACTTCAGTTCCCACTTGTCGCCCTCTGACACGATCTCAACCGGCCGTCTCTCGTCCAGCGACTTGCGACCGGCATCCAGGATTGCCGTAGTGGCAATGGTGTTCTTCAGGGTAGGCAGAGGGCGAGCATCCAACTGGTCGAGTGTCAAACGACCCTCGTTGACGCCCGTCACGGCATCAATGAACTTCTCAAAGCTAATGTAGCCGTAGCCAGTCTGACCACCGAAGTTACCTTCCTCGTCGGGAGCATACTTCATGTAGAAGCTAGTTTCGAGAAAGTATTAGTAAATTGATTCCTCCGTATGGATTTCAGTTCATAAAAAGGATTATACGTGACTTACGGGTTCACCCAGATCAAACCCTGGTCATCGCCAGTCACATCGTAGCCACGCTTGGCCTGGTTGACACGAACCTCACCATTGGCCGCCATATCTATTTCACAAGATTAGTATCGGATCGAACTTTGACAAAGAACAAAAAAATACGTACAGTGGAAGTACTGGTTGGAGTGCACACCCGCATTCTGCGGCGCCGTCCAGCTGGCTGTGTACACACCCGTCGCAATCTTAGCAGGGTCATCCTTGCGTCGCCACTCTACCAAGAGGGTGATCGTATCCTCGGTTTCAGGAACACAGCCCAGGGAAGCAGCAGTTCCCTGAGATGCAGTAGCTGTAACACGAACAGGCTTATAGTCAGGCACCATGCTCTCGTTGATATCAATGTGGTGCGAGTTGAGATAGTACGAGATATCTGAGTCCCGACCAGCCCATGCCTTGAAGGTCTCCAGCTGACTCTTCGGTTGGCTCATGTAGCTGTAGAAATAGTTGAAGTCACCCAGGTTCTTCGCCTTGGCGCGAGCATCGGAGTAGGCTGGGTCGAAGCGCTTGTGGTGTTCGACGAAGACGAAGACGCCGTGCTTGCGCGCGGCTTCTACCAGTGCCAGGTGATCCCCCAATCGCTGGGTGGCGGGCTTGGTGATCAGGACGTGGTGTCCGCGCTCAATGGCGTACAGAGCAATTGGGTAGTGTGTCGAGTCTGGGGTGAAGATTGTGATGGCAGAGCCCTTGGGCAGGGCGTCAATTGCCGACTTGTAGGCGTCGGGGTCGGTCTGGTCGTCGGCAGGGAAGAGGCGAAGGAAGTGTCGAGGCCATTGTAAACCTGGGAGATGTTGCGGTGCAGGTGATCGCCTAGATTCTTCTAGTTAGCTTCTCACATCCAAGCTCCTGTTCCTCGTTGCCGGGACTCTGTCTGTTTGACTTACGAATGCCAGGGAACTTCTTGCCCGACACGCCGACCATGCTCAAGTCACCGACCTTACCGCGGCGGCGCAAGTCGAACAATGTGAGGCCCACGACGCCAACCTTCTTGTCCGAGCCCGAGGCACCACCGCCGACGAAGCCAGTGGTGTACTCGCCCGTGCCGACCTGGTAGAGTTCTGTAAGCTGGTGCTGTATAGCTGCAGGGTGGAACGGAGCTTACCATCAATACACTTGGAGGAGCCATGATGAATAGTATCTGTCAATTAAGGTAATAGAGATGAGAGACAATACCAGACAAGAGAGAAAATCGGGAGGAGAGAGGAATAAAAAGAAGAAAGCTGGGGCAATGGGGGACTTTCGTTGCTGGACGTAATTCTTCCGGCGTTTGAAAGCCCCTCCAAACGTCACGCTGGGGCAGTCAATAGCCGATCTATTGCGGGGTGCATTGGATGCTACATGAATAGTATTTACTATTTAATTTACTATAAGTATAATAATTATAGTATAGTATATATATATATATAATGTGTATGCATTCTCTATAATATGTGTTCTTTCCTCCAGGACTGAATCGATTCGGTTCACGCAGCAATGAATCCCCGAGTCGCGTCTGCCCCTCCATCACCAATGCCGCCTCCACAACTCATCCCAAATGCCAAAGTGTACCACCCCCACATTCTGCCCTTCATCGGCTATTGGTGGAATTTATTCCTCCGCCATTCAGAAGCTCTCGGAGGATTCCCCGACGTGGGGGAATGCATTGGAGGACTGTTTGGGGTGCAACCATGAGTGCGCTTCCTTAAAAAGAGCGAAAGGTTCTTGACTTTTCCCTTCTCCTCTTTTGAATATTGACATTTTCCATCTTCAATATACCCAAAATCCTCATACGTATGTACCTACCTACCTATTCAACATCCGATTCCAAGCAACTAACCGTGCTATAGCATCACCATAATCATGTCGCCAACTCCACTCCGCCCCGGCGTCTATGCGCCGACCATGACCTTCTTCAACCCCAACACCGAAGATCTCGATGTTCCTACAATCCGCCGCCACGCCGTGCGCTTGGCCAAGGCTGGGCTTGTCGGCCTAGTGACCATGGGCTCAAACGGCGAAGCCGTGCATCTGACCCGCGAGGAGCGTGCCACCGTGACTCGCGAGACTCGCTCTGCTCTCGATGAGGCCGGATTCCAAAACGTACCGGTCATCGCCGGTGCCAGCGAAAACAGTATTCGCGGCACCATTGATCTGTGCAAGGAGGTCGCTGCTGCTGGCGGCGAGTACGCTCTCATTGTGCCTCCCAGCTACTACCGCGGTGCCGTTGGCAACGACGAGACCATTTATGAGTACTTCACATCCGTGGCCGACGGCTCACCCATTCCTCTGATCCTGTACAACTACCCTGGCGCCGTGGCCGGTATTGACATGGACTCTGACCTCATCATTCGCATCTCTGAGCACCCCAACGTTGTTGGCACCAAGTTCACCTGTGCCAACACTGGCAAGCTCACCCGCGTTGCCAATGCCCTGGGCGCAGTCACCCCCGCATCTCCACTGGCCAATGCCAACCGCCCCGCACCAACTGTTTCCAAGCCGAATGCGAAGCACCCCTACATTGCTTTCGGTGGTATCGCCGACTTCACTCTGCAGACTCTCGTCTCTGGCGGAACCGCCATTCTGGCCGGTGGTGCCAATGTCATCCCCCGTCTCTGCGTGCGTATCTTCACTCTCTGGTCCGAGGGCCGTCTGGCCGAGGCCATTGAGGCTCAACAGCAACTCAGTGCTGCGGATTGGGTTCTGACCAAGGCTGCTATCCCCGGCACCAAGTCTGCCATCCAGTCTTATTACGGATATGGTGGTTTCCCCCGTCGCCCGCTTGGTCGTCTCAGCGATGACCAGGCCAAGGCTCTTGCGGACAAGATCAAGGGCGCATTGGATGTGGAGCTCTCTCTGAAGGATGTCGCATAATGGACAGGGCCAGGGAGAAAAGTTCAAAGTAAATTAAGACGCACATGGGATTATCAACGCTGTACATGAATCACATGCTATACATAGACATAGTATTATGACTGAAAATCAATCGACTACTACTCGTACCCGATCGCTAGATCCCGATTAGGAAAGTACCCGATAAATGGGTCCGATTCCCTGGGGGTCCCCAAGTCTATTTCATTTGTCCAATGAGTGCAGATGTGCGCTGTACGTAGTACGCTAACATTCAAGCACCCATATTGTGCTCCATACAAGGAAATCAAATATATCTTAAAATGATGGTCCATCTTGTCTGCTTTTCTGGGACTGGCGTAGTATTCCAATGGTTGTTCCGCGAAGCTGATAGGCGGAAAAACTCCCAATTCGGGGTTGTTGCGAGCCCAGGCCGCCTTCAACCGTCTACTACCGCCCATTGAATACTAGTTCCATCTGATCAAGACCGAAAAAAGCACTGCAAAGGCTGTATACCCCACGTAGTAAGAAGAAGAGACTCAAGATTCCCCACGCAAAGCAGGACTTGGTTTTCTGCTTTGTTTCTTGATCGTATACCTTCTGCAAAGACAATAATATATGACATTTCATTCTGGATCAATACCTCGGTGCATTACTGTTCCGGGAAATGACCCGCTTTGTTATCTAGTGGAGACAACCCTCAAAGCATGCGGTATCGATATCCCGACTCGGGGATTAGTATGCGAGACGACCCGCGTCACGATGGGGGCACGATGGGGGCCTCACGAGGCTATCCCACGCCATTCAGGACCACCATCTACCGGCCGAGTTTGGACCTGCTACAAATAGAATTAAATTTTTTGGAGCAGCTTTGATATACCCCTCTCTTCCCCCGCTCTCTCTAACTTTTTCTTCTCTTATTTTCTCTACATCCCACTTTTTCTGGAGAACGTTCATACAATTCTCTTTTTCTCTTCTATTCCCATATACATATACCCATCACAATGCCGTACCCTGACGAAGCTGAGGGATTCCAGGTCGATGGACCTAACTCTTTCACCCAATTCCACAAGCGCTTCGTAAGTTGGCTACTTCCCGTTCTCTGGGTGGACTATTTTTTCTAACGTGCAATTATTTGGGAATCTACAGTTTCAACTGAAGCCATTTGGTGATTATGGTGAGCTCTAACTAGTCAAGCTCCACGTCCTCAACTATTTCTAACTGAATTCGCAAACAACAGACGTCGACGTTAAGATCGAAGCATGCGGCATTTGCGGCAGTGACGTGCACACCATCAGCGGAGGATGGGGATCTCAGAAGTTCCCTCTGTGTGTGGGACACGGTTCGTAACCACGATCAACCATTCCAATTGACAAACCAGTCCAATAATTAACACACATTCCAGAGATCGTCGGTACTGCCATCCGTGTCGGTCCTAAGGTGACCCTGATCAAGGAGGGTGAGCGTGTCGGCGTCGGCGCCCAGTCCTACTCCTGCGGAGAGTGCAAGCAGTGCAAGAACGACAACGAAACGTACTGCCCCGTCCAGATCATGGACACATACGGAGCCGAGTGGCCGGAGACTGGCATCGTCAGCCAGGGTGGATACTCATCGCATGTGCGCACCCACGAGCACTGGGTATTCCCGATCCCCGATGCCCTTGACTCTGTCACTGTTGCGCCAATGCTTTGCGCCGGTCTCACTGCCTACTCGCCGCTGGTGCGCAATGGGGCTGGACCCGGTAAGAAGGTTGGAATCGTTGGCCTTGGTGGCATTGGTCATTTCGGCGTTATGTTTGCGAAGGCACTTGGTGCGGAGGTTTGGGCTATTTCTCGGTCTCGGGCCAAGGAGGCTGATGCCTTGAAGTTGGGTGCTGATGGATACATCGCTACTGCGGAGGAGGGCTGGGATGAGCCGCACAAGTTCTCGTTTGATTTGATTATTAACTGTGCCAATTCTTCGGAGGGCTTTGATCTGGCTCGCTATCTGTCTATGATGGACGTGCATGGTCGCTGGGTCAGTGTTGGTCTGCCTGAGGAAGAAGGTCAGGTTATCAAGGCCCAAAACTTGATTTCTAACGGTGTGCTCATCGGTGCTAGCCATCTGGGTAGCCGTCGAGAGATGCTTGAGATGCTGCAGCTGGCTGCGGACAAGGGACTTAAGGGTTGGGTTGAGGAGATCGCCATCGGCGAGGAGGGTCTGAAGAACGCTATGCTGCGTATGAAGAAGGGTGATGTTCACTACCGGTTTACCCTGACTGGATATGAAAAGATTTTCGGTTAAGAGGATGTTGATACTGCTGGTACTGGGTGCATTTAAGACAGAGAAGCTCTGAAGGATGGAGTGTTTGGCAAGTCCTGGGGTGGTTGATTCCAAGGTTATGAGGGGATAGGGGTGTGCTATTTTATTATGTCTACCTATAGATCGATAACTTAAGCAGTTAATCGAATGATTCAAATTTATTGCTAGTGGCATCATAGTACTAGTAGCGGATAACCTGAAGTTTTACGATGTTTCGTGAACCATGATGCCCAGGTGGTGGATGTATATACCTCAACTCGGAGTAGGGCTCGGCTACTTACTACTAGTGGGTACTCACTACTACTAGTACTAGTACTAGTACTGCAAGACTAGTATTTCAAATTGAACTAGTATTAGAATGCACACAAACAAATTATTTTAGGACCGTGACTATTTCCAAGGTTCTTTGTTCTTCACTTGGATGGCATTGACAGAGTGGATCACTCCACAAGGCTGTTCTGGAGTATAGTTCGAACGGGATCGACGCCCCGGACTGCTACTCCTTTCCTCCCTTTCCTCCCTTTCCACTGGCAGTCTGCCCAATTCAAGGATTTCGTTTTCTGGCTTTATTGACGTAAACCCCAAGAAAGTTTGCTTGTATCAAATGCGGCCTTGTAGAAACCCCTAAACTTCCCGATTATCGTCAAAGTTGGACGGAACCCTGGATCAGGAGGCCTAAAACCGCCACTCGGGGCTGACGGTTTGGTCCAGCAGTACCTTGGGCCAAGTACAGAATACATTAAGCGTCAGCTAAATTGCCCCGGATTGTAAGTAGTCGATACTCCACAATCCGGTCCATCCCTGTCAGAAAAATGCAAATCCCCCATGATTTGCCTCCCCCTCGGACGCTAGAAAAATCTAATCCCTGCAGATGCGTAGGTGGCCCAAGTACCGAATACCTCGTCTGCCACATTAATTATGAGATCATGGAGGTATCTGCTACCAATCGGTATCTGTGCCGGCGGCCAATCACTCCGCCGCAATTCACCGCCCGACTCTCAGACCGCAGCCGATTCATTCTTTGGAAATTCTACTCCCTATTTTTATTCTCTCCTTGCGCTTTCTTTTTGTTTTTATTATTTATCACTGCATTCATTATATTCTCTCTCTTTATTCTCGGTTCCTCGGTGTTTTTGTGTTATACAATCCTTCCATCCACTAGACTCGTCGACTTCGCCCATTACCCCCTGGCGACTACCGAAAGAACTTCGCATTGAACCACCATCGACTTTATACAATAGACCAGGACCGGGAAAAGTTCAGTCGTTTTTTACCATCCTTATAACGGTCCCATCGAGGACTTCGACTTTCCAAAACCCCGATCGTTGATTACCTCCTTCCTTGGCGCGCAATCTCTATACTGAACGCCATGTCGCCACGAGAGACCTCCACTCGGCGACGCCCCTCGCTATCACTTCGTCCACGCCCCCGGACTGCGGCGCATCCAATTACCCACCCGAAGGAGTATGCCATCGATCAGTGGCGAGAGACCCCCCCACACAGAACTATGCCATGACCACGAGGGATCGGCAGTGGAAGAGATGGAGCCCTTTCCAGAGGCAGTGCCTCGTAGGCGATCAGCCAAGAGCTTTTCAAGTCTGCGACACCCGATGGATGGTCTAGTGGCCCTAGGCCGCCGGCTATCTGTCACTCTACGCCACAAGTCCTCCAAGAACAATTTTCTGGTCCCCGGAGAGGCCGAAGATGACTCTCGCCACTACCAAGTTGCGGGCCACTCCAGCCACAAGCGCAATGTTGCCTCGCAAAGTTGGGACAAGCGGTCGCGCGCTTGGTCCAACAGCCATAGCATCAACCGACGTCCTTCTCTCAACAGCGTGACTGCTCTGCATGGCTTTTATGCGCCCACCGCATCGGTTCCAGCCCCCATCCCTGGACATGGATTGGAGCCCCCGATTCTTCCCAATGACAAGTTTGCTGGGTCGGCGGCACGTGCTGCTGCCGCTGCTGAGAATGAACGCATGGAAATGGTCAAGTTGGAAATGGCCAAGTTGGAAATGGGCAAATTGGAGCGTGAACTTCTTCCCAAGGCATCTGACGTCAGACTTGACTCGGAGAGTGGCATCGGTATTGATCTTCGCGATCGCTCTGATGCCTCGGATCTTGAGCTAGACCTCCTTCGCATTGATCCGGTGTCATACTTGCCTTCAGAGATCATGGCCCAAGTGCTTTCCTACTTGGATCCCGCCTCTCTCATGCAGGCGGAGCTGGTTTCTCACACCTGGAACGGGCAGGCAAACTCCCCCCCATGTCTGGAAACACGTTTTCCGCAGCGTATATACCCCTCGACCGATCAGCTCTACAGCAACCAAGAAAAGGCAGCAGCTTGGACTAGGGAAGGCCGTTCCTCACCAGGACTGGAAGCGGATGTTTCTAGTTCGCCGGGCCCTCGATCAACGCTGGAAACAGGGCAAAGCTGCGGCAATCTATCTCCACGGACACAAGGACAGCGTGTACTGTGCGCAATTCGACGAGTGAGTTCACCACAAAATCCCCCAGTCTCTTGATCCCTAACTAACCATTCATTCCCAGAAATAAAATAATTACCGGATCTCGTGATCGTACCATTCGCGTGTGGGATGCTCACTACCCCTGGTCTTGCCTCAAGATCATTGGCCCGCCTCCTGGCGATGTGTCTGGCTCTGGACCCGTCAACAACCCAGCGCAGCAGGCCACCGGAAAATCTCCTTTTGTGACTATCTGCCCTCCATCAACACCCTCCGCTGGTATCGTTACCCCGATGGAGCACCCAGCCGACTATCACAGTGCCTCGATCCTTTGCCTTCGTTTCGATGAGGAGATCATGGTGACCGGATCCTCGGATTATACATGCATTGTCTGGGACATCAAGGATGACTACCGTCCCATTCGTCAACTCGTGGGCCACCGCGCTGGTGTATTGGATGTTTGCTTCGATGACCGGTACATCGTGTCGTGCTCCAAGGATAGTACTATCTGCGTCTGGGACCGCAAGACAGGCGATCTACTGAAGCAGCTTATTGGACATCACGGCCCTGTGAACGCTGTCCAGCTGCGCGGCGATCTTGTGGTTTCGGCAAGCGGCGACGGTATTGCCAAGCTGTGGAATGTCACCACTGGCGCCTGTGTTAAGGAGTTCCCCAGCAAGGACCGCGGTCTCGCCTGTGTCGAGTTCAGCGAAGACGGCCGTACCATATTGACTGGTGGAAATGATAGGACTATCTATCAGTTCGATGCCAATACCGGCGAGCTGGTCAAGGAACTCCGAGGTCACACTGGCCTGATTCGGTCCCTTCACCTGGACAGCATGAACAAGCGTATTGTTAGCGGTAGCTACGATATGAGTGTCAAGGTGTTTGATACCGAGTCAGGCCAATTGTCCGTCGATCTGCCTGGATGGACTACTAGTTGGATGCTCAATGTCCAGTCAGACTATCGACGAATTGTCGCAACTAGCCAGGACTCCCGGGCCGTTATCATGGATTTCGGTTACGGATTGGATGGTATCGACTTGTTGGAGGAATGATTATTCCTGAATACTGCCTATAATATCTCTCATAATTTTCATTCTTTATTTAGCGCTGCTTTTGGGATATTTTGCTGGCATTGGATCACGGAGTTAGACCTCGGGGAATGGCTACCGGAACGGGGAACAAAGATTGGCACATTTGGGCATAGAAGTTTCATTCTTTTTTTGTTATAGCTAGACCTATACATGGCGCATAAGGATATACAATCGTTTGGTCAAGTTTCTATTATTCCAGCTCTCGTACATACTTACATATGATGCGAAATGGTTCATCATAAATGAACAATTAACTATCTGTGTCTGCCTAAGGCAACATATTATATAATCGCATTTGATTGGTTCGTGCAGTGCCTAGCGCCACTGTGATCCGTGGGTTTTGGCATCAAAACAATCCCATCGGGTGTTTTCCCATCAACACAGACAGGCAGACTCCCAGTAGAGGCCCTGATCGTGCTCCTCGTCCGTCATTGACACGCCATTGACCCTACGTCCTCCACTCTCCTCCACCCTACCCCCCGAAATTTCGATTGCGGCTATCACTACCCCACCATGGGTGAATCCAGGTTCGGCTTTTTCCCCTTATCGACACATGTCCCTTCGACGAGGCACAACACGGAGCGATTCGCTGATGGAAGATATTCCCTAGACAAGAATTGCTGGCTTGGTTGAACAACCTGCTGCAGCTCAACATTACCAAGATCGAGCAGTGTGGAACCGGGTATGATCGGCCAAAGACCCCTCGCCCCCCTCTCACCGGAGAGTCTGCGCGCTAGAAGAGCATGAAAGAGAACTCAACTGACATGGGATTTTGGTGAATACACACAGTGCTGCGCTATGCCAGATCTTCGACTCGATATTTAGTGAGTGCGACCTGGCGAACACTCAAGAAGCGGTCAAGCCGCCTGGAATATACGGGGAGGCAGCTATACTGATACAATGGTTTTCTTTTTGCAGTGGACGTGCCCATGTCTCGGGTTAAGTTCAACGTCAACACCGAATACGCCTACCTTCAAAACTTCAAGGTTCTGCAAAGTACGTTCCCCGCCATCGGGCCGCGTAACGGTCGACCCCATGACAAAACATTGTTAACATATTCACTCGCTCATCCAGACATTTTCACCCGCCACACGGTCGAAAAGCCCATTCCGGTTCAATCTCTCACCAAGTGCCGCATGCAGGATAACCTGGAGTTCCTCCAATGGACCAAGCGATACTGGGACCAGCACTACCCCGGTGGTGATTATGATGCCGTCGGCCGTCGCAAGGCTTCTGGTGCTCCCGGTGGTGCCCCCATTGCCGCCGCGCGTGCCCCCTCAGCTGGCTCACGCCGCGGAGTTACCCCGACCTCTGCCGCCGTGCGTGGTCCCCGCGTTGCCAGCGCCGGTGCCGGTGCCGCTACCGCTGCACTGCAGCAGGAACTCGCGACGCAGAAGGAAGCTATTGGTGGCCTCGAGAAGGAAAGGGACTTTTACTTTGCCAAGCTGCGGGATATTGAGCTGCTGCTCCAGAACGCCATTGAGGCTGACCCGGAGCTGGAGAAGGAGGAGGATACGTTGGTGAAACACATCCAGGGCATTCTGTATTCGACCGAGGTAAGTTGACATCTGTGTGGGGGTGGAAGAAGAAGAAGAAGAAGAAGAAGAAGAAGAAGAAGAAGTTGAAACGTGCCGGGAACTAAGCTAACGGAAATGATTCCTGCAGGATGGATTCGAGATCCCCGAGGCGGAAGAGGGTGTGGCTGATGAGCTGGAGACCTTCTAAGCGGTCGGGCCAGGGAGAGAGCAAACGAGTCCCATTACTATACCCCCCCCCGCGACTTGTGTTTCACGAGACCGTAGATAGTGAATAGCGCGCATTGCCCTAAGTGACGCGACCCGAACCGAGTATTTCAGACTAAGCAAGGGCCCGAGTTCACAACTCATGTGTTCCTGGTACGGAGGAGATGCTCCGTACAATGTAATACATACTGCACCTATTGGCTGCGGGCTGGCTATAGTGCGGCGTCCTTGCGTAGATCCACATGGGAGGTAATCTTACCGTAGTATGTTTAGGACGGGGTAGGAGGAGGTGCATACTACATAGATTTACTCTGTAACTATCCATGACTCACGAGTCCTTATTTCAGGTGGTAATGTACTTAACTTATGAGTTATGTATGTACACCAGTCTACTACTATAGTATACTATACCATACCTTTGTACCATACGGTGTCTCCCCCAAAGTAAGACCTCATTAAACCTGCGCCGAAACTAACCCGATTCGGACTAGGCAGGCTAGCCAGAACCCTCGGGCTCCACCTGACAGCCATCCAATCATTAGCCGTGTCTGCTGTGTACCTGCAGCACGAAACCTTTCTCAGGACACTGATGCTGCTCCCCTCGCTGCTATGGGTCATGGCTCATGGCTCAAAATAAACAGAGAAACAGAGCCCATTGTCGGTCTATCTTCTCGACTCCCCATCTTCTCCCATCTCATATCCCACCACCTGCTTCTGGAAACTTGAAGTAGTGGGTTTTGGACCCAAAACCGAGCATCTCGGGCCCCGGGCTAGTTCGTCACCTACGCGGGTCGCCTAGACTTGGCTTTTAATAGGGGAGACGCTTGGGTCCGGTCTGGCTCGTTCCACTGTTCCACCGTTCCACCCAGAACCGTTTCGCTTTTCCTCACTCTTTCCCCCGACTTCTCTCTTACTCCCCCTCCCCCTCCCCTCTACCAAGAGTTCTGAAGTCGGACGGGTTCGTCTAGAGCTGCTTCGTCTAGTTCAAGAGAACAGCGTGCGCCTGACGTTACCATCGGACCCGCTGGCTGCTCGGGTACCTGATATCGCTTCGCTTCAACTGTGTATTGTTTGGTGACTTTCCTGCAACGACACTATGGATTAGGCCTCCATCATTTGTCATCACCTTTCTTCTCGACACTCTTTTCATCTGGTATGTTGCTTCCAGAATTTCCCCTCTGCTGTAGCGAAACAGCAAAGACATCGCATGGGAGCCCACGCGGCTCTCTCGCCTGCTTGAAACATATCGCTAAACCGACCGAACGCCCTTAGACATTTCGAAACGTCCCTGCGACCTTCAAACGCCATTCACTCTTTACCATCTCTCTTTTTTTTTTTTTTGTTTTGTCGGCGACTGAATTCGCGGACTTCCACTCTTTACCATTGCGATTGAATTGATCGCCACAATCCTTTCGACCATCGGCCAATTCCATCCAATCGGCCCACTATCGCGGGCAAGTTCCTGCTTCCTTTTTCTCTTCCTTTCTTCGCTGTGTTGGATATTCAATCGACCCCGAGGAAAAGAAAGAAACTGCCTCTACTTTCATTGATTTTCGTGTTTTAGCTGGTCGATCCAGCTTCAAACTCTGTGAGAATTCACGATTATCGGTTGTTCAACCATTGAAACTACCTACCATTTCGAACAAACTCTGGCGCAATGGCTCATCATGGCCATTGGCGCGACTCTCGGACCAGCAGACTACTCAGAGCCAAACGCCGCTTGGAAGTGCTTGAAGAAGCTGCGAAAGACGACAATGTTTCACCGAGTATACTGATCAGTGGGGGCGAAATTGAAAATGAGCCTCTGGCATCTCCGGAGGATATCATTCTTCCTGGAACTCCCCCATACCCTGAAGATACGAATCTGATGAAACGACAAGAAGCCGACCAGACACAGAGTGTGGTCGTAGAAACGGTTTTGCAAGTGGTGGATACCAACTCTCATACTCTTTGGCAATCCGCTGGGGTTGATTTCCCATTGACGCTTTCGGACCCTGCTTTTGGTACTGTTACCCTATCAGCTGGCGAAACTGCATTTGCATCGGAGGCTGCGTTGCTCGTTACATCACCAACAGCTCTACCCATCGCCCAACAAACGAATGTAACGACCCCAACATCCGAGGCTGTATCACATACAAGCAAGCCAACTGCAGCTGTTTCTTCGCCAAAGATTTCATCCGCTATCAGCTCCACACCAACATCCTCAATACCTCTCGTCTCGCCATCATCCAATTCTACATCGTCTCCCACTACATCCTCTCAAATTGCGAGCATTTACTCCACTTCATCCGCGATTTCTTCAACAACATCTTCCAGCAGCTCGAGTGCGTCATCAACTTCATCCACCTGGTACGGAGGCTATGGTCAGACTGTCGGTGGCACTAGCAGTGGATCATCGCCGACCAGCACCAGCTCAGAATCCTCGTCAGGGTCAGACACAGCCTCTGACACGACAACTCCAAAAATTGTTGGCGGTGTTGTTGGTAGTGTAGCCGGAGTTGCTCTGCTTTTGTTGCTTATTTTGTTCCTGTTCCGCCGGCGCAGCCTCCAGCAAAAGGGCACGCAAGCCCTGCCATCGTCATCAGATTCTGGTGCACGAGAAGTAGCCGAACGACGAACAAGCAAAGATCCTCTCTTTGGTGCGTCATATCTTGCACCAGCCTTCGTGAAGCGTTGGCGCCAGTCAACAATGAGTACCAAAACAGAGAGTACCGTATCGTCCACTCCAAGTGAGCGAGGCTTTCAAAAAATTTCCGGACGCAAAATTGCCCCTGTTCTCACCCATGGGGGTGACGGCTTCGGTGGTGCGTCAACTGGTGATTCCCCAACGATCCCAGACTCTCTCATCGGCCTGTCTCCCTCGTCTCCGGGGGCCCTCTTTCCTCGCCTTCACACGCACCACCAACGGCAACGCCATTTGGCATGCCGCTCGACACCAACGTCACACGCGAAGCCGGTGAAGAGAACGTCACCCCGACACGACCACGGCAAGCCAACATCCCAGTCTCCAACTCAGTCAATTTTAGTTCCCCAACGACCGTCACTCCTTCCCATCCAATCCCCCAGCCCCAGAGTGCCATACCGGTGGCTCCTCGAAAGGATCCACTGGGGCGCAGCCTTCCAAGTTTTGATGGAAGTCGCGACAGTCGCGGCAGCCGTTTCACGGAGAGCTTGGATCTGTGAGCCGAGCTGGAGTGCATTCTATGGGAATACGTGATACGAAAAAAGTTGACGTTTTTATGGGACGGAGAAGTTCTTCGAATGCTTTGATTTTTAGCCAACATGTTTCGATATTTTCTCTTGGACGCTTTGATTCGGACCACGGATCATTGCGTCGCTGATTTTGTTTACTTAGCTTTTGCTTTTTTGCTGCTGTTTTTCAGCCATCTTTCAACCTCTCGCTTACGCATCCAAAAGTCGCGCTGAACGATCTTTTCAGAATGGCGTGTCTGTCCTTTGAAAAGTGCTCTCATTTGTCACTTTTCCAATTTTCTCTCCTCGTCTGATAGATACCCCTTATTTCCTCCCCTCATTTTGTCGCAAATATGTTGATCTGTTCATTTATCGCTTAGAAGAGCGATTGTTGATATGATTATGAGCCACTTTTGGCTCCAATTTTTACTAAGTTAATTCTTAATTGAAGCCTGATATCAACAAAGAATATTGAATGTCGATCTCCCGGGACGGGGAACCTAGAGGAGGCAGTGAAGACGTACGTACGTATGTACGTAGCATTTGGAATGGTGTTTTTGAGGCTGTAAATTTAGGTTGCCAGCAGCTTGCCCGATCTGCTGCCTATACCCCAGCCACGCTTACATATATCACGTGCCCATGCCCAGGGACATGCACCGCCACTTTTGCCACACCAGCTGTGGCTCAGTTGTGGCAAGGGTACCGGAAACATCATGATCGCCAAACTGCAGCTTTACTTGATTGAGCGATTCTTTTACACATGTCAGTCTGAATCGCTCCACTAACGCTTAGTATGATCAACTCTACACAATGATGCCTGTTTCATGACGCAAAAGGCTTTCACTTTCGGGGCCTTGACCTTCATCACTTGCGGCTTCACAGCCCGAAACAAAGCCAGATGACGCACCCGAGGCATTCATGCCTCCTTGCTGGAGTGCACGTACGGAGTCCGGAGCCCAGAACCCATATGTCCAGAGTACCTTCGACAATGCTATACACCACCTGATCGAAGAAGGTTCAGCAATATCAAGCGGAATGCAATGTTATTGGATCTACCCTGTTCTTCGATGATACAAGGGGGCGCAGCACCCCACTCTGGGTCGCGGCGGCAAGCCCAACCTCATCACTCACACTTTATTGGACCGCCTCAACTTGCGGGTCCTGAACTAGAGAGTCATGATGATGGGCAGCGTCTCGCTCAATCGAATCTAGATTCATCCCAGCGCTAAACCAGTCACCCCATGTGCTGGGTATCAGGTTGTTTCTACTTCGCCCTGGGTTTAAAACATCTCCAGCTGGGTTGAGCTTGCACTCGCCACATTTGCCATCTACATCCTCGCGTACCTCGCACTTCGTGGTATAGTCCACCGGGCCTTTTGATAATTGAGCACAGCCTCAATATTGTCTTGACCGTGAAGTCAGAAGGGTTGGGAATTGATCAGCGCAGAATACGCATCGTTGCCCCCTCTACTCCGTATTCAGATAGAGCCTGTGGATAAAACAATTTCCTCACTTGGCATCTTCTTAATTTCTATAGTGGGTTGAAAGACTTGGTCAATGTCGATTTCCTCGGCGGCTCTGGGCATGAACACAGCCCCCCTCGAGAGGGGATAACAGGACCTCCACCCCAGTTTTGAAACGGGCTTCCTGGCGAGGGCATATCACCTTTGCATTATTTTCATACCGATCACCCCATCGGTCTAATCTACACCCCATGGCTTCATCAAACTTCAACACGCCACAACAGGGCTCACTTTTGACTCCTGTGATTGAAACAGATCCTTCGGGTAGAGAGGTGAGTTATTCTCATACATGCTGGGCGGCAAACCCGTACTAATGACTAATTAATACAGCGTTCTTTATCTATCACACCTGTTGCTGCTGCATATAGCCCGACAGATCAACCTCACTCTCCCACATCTCCTATATCCCCTGCATCTCCTACAACTTCACTTTCACCAGATATGGCGTGGAATCCTGGTCATCCGGATCCGGCACGCCTGATGGTTCATAATGGCTTTCATCGGCCTTCATCGTCAATAGACGGAGACACATTACGTCCACGATCAGAGTCTTTTGCATCTACTGCACCTACAATGAGCCCCAGCCGGTCTAGAACTAATTCAGATGTTGATCCTTCACACACTAGCAAAGCCGTTTATGATGACGTGCCCTTGTCAGAGGCGCTGACACCGGATCCCCGGAATGAGGCTGATTTCCTGATCGAGAACAATCGCTTCGCCTTCTCACCCGGTCAGCTGAATAAGATGCAGAACCCAAAGTCTCTTGCTGCCTTCCATGCACTTGGTGGCTTGCAAGGATTGGAGCGGGGCTTGCGGACAGATCTCAGCGCAGGTCTCTCCAACGATGAAGTTGCATTGGAAGGCACAGTCGACTTCCAACAAGTGACGCCTCCTTTATATAATAAACGACCTTCAATAAGCAAAGCGCCTCTTGACGAGGACCTTCCCACCTCGGCGCCAGCATCCGCTGGTCAAGGTTCACCATTCGAGGATCGCATTCGTGTTTTTAGCGAAAATCGACTGCCTGCTCGAAAGTCCACTGGCTTCTTGAAGCTTTTCTGGATTGCATACAACGATAAGATTATTATACTTTTGACTATCGCTGCGGTTGTCTCTTTATCTTTGGGTATCTATGAGACTGTGGATGCAGGGACTGGTGTGGACTGGGTAGAAGGTGTGGCTATCTGCGTGGCAATTCTCATTGTCACTGTCGTCACGGCTGTCAATGATTGGCAAAAAGAGAGACAATTTTCCAAACTCAATAAGAAGGTATGTGATAATAAAACGCCTGTTCTGTCAACCCTGACTAATACTGACTTCTCACAGAATGACGACCGTTACGTGAAGCTTATTAGGTCTGGCAAGTCTATGAAGTTATCCATCTACGATGTAATGGTTGGCGACGTGCTTCACCTTGAGCCTGGTGACTCAATTCCTGCCGACGGTGTTCTCATATCGGGGCATGGCGTGAAATGCGACGAGTCATCGGCGACCGGTGAATCCGATCAGATGAAAAAGCTAGATGGTCATGAGGTCTGGCAGCAAATTGTCGAGGGCTCTGCGACAAAAAAGATTGATCCATTCATGATTTCTGGAAGTAATGTCCTCGAGGGCGTCGGTACCTACGTTGTCACTAGCGTTGGACCTTACTCTTCTCATGGTCGAATCATGATGTCGCTACAGACTACCAATGATCCTACGCCACTTCAGGTTAAACTGGGTCGGCTCGCGAACTGGATTGGTTATCTGGGTTCAGCGTAAGTCTCACTACCAGTCCAATCAAAACCTAGAGTGGTAACTAACTATCATTCTAGTGCCGCCCTTATTTTGTTCCTCGTCCTCTTGTTCCGATTTGTGGCGGATCTCCCAAATCACCCCGACATAGGCCCTGCAGAAAAGGGAAAGGAATTCGTTGACATTTTGATTGTTGCTGTTACTGTTATCGTTGTAGCCATTCCTGGTATGTATTCTTTTCTCCAATCTATTGGTTCTCAAGCTAACCCTTTTCCCTTTGTAGAGGGTCTTCCACTGGCGGTAACACTTGCCCTTGCCTTTGCTACTACTCGCATGGTCAAAGAGAACAACCTAGTCCGTGTTCTTCGAGCCTGTGAAACCATGGGAAATGCCACTGTGATTTGCTCGGACAAGACGGGAACTTTGACACAGAATAAAATGACTGTCGTCGCCGGTACCTTGGGCACTGAACAGAGTTTCAAATCTCCATCAGAGGACGAGGTCGATACTTCTGCCAAATCGACCGCCGAGTTTTTCAAAGGGTGCTCAGCTCCTACACGGAATCTGATGATCAAGAGCGTTGCTTTAAACTCAACAGCCTTTGAGGAGGAACGAGAAGGCCGGAAGCAGTTCGTCGGCAGCAAGACTGAAGTTGCACTTCTCCAATTGGCCCAGGATTACCTAGGCATGGATCTCGCTTCTGAGCGAGGGTCTGCCGAGATTGTCCAGCTTATTCCTTTCGATTCTTCGCGCAAGTGTATGGGCGTCGTATACCGTCACCATAGCTCTGGATACAGACTTCTTGTTAAAGGTGCATCGGAGATTATGGTCGACGCTTGCAATACACAAATCACAGACATTGACATGACTGAGAAGAATCTTTGTGCAGTCTCATTGTCCGAGAAAGAGAGACAGGTGATTTTGGAAACCATTGACCAGTACGCCAAAAGGTCCCTTCGCACGATCGGTATAGTGTACAAGGACTTTGCTTCGTGGCCACCAAAGGAGGCCAAACTACATGAAGATAATAATTCTGCGGCCGACTTTGACGATGTCTTCCGAGACATGACTTGGGTCGGAGTTGTGGGAATCCAAGATCCCCTTCGTCCTGAGGTTCCCCAGGCGATTCGAAAGTGTCATTCTGCCGGTGTGCAGGTGAAGATGGTCACCGGTGATAATGTTGCAACTGCCACCGCGATTGCAACTTCCTGTGGCATTAAGACCGAAGATGGACTGGTCATGGAGGGTCCCAAGTTCCGAAAACTTTCGAATGAAGAGATGGATCTCGTGGTCCCCCGTCTACAAGTCTTGGCGCGTTCTTCACCAGAGGACAAGCGTATCTTGGTTGAGCGCCTCAAGGCTCTTGGAGAGACTGTCGCTGTCACCGGCGATGGTACTAATGACGGCCCTGCTCTTCGCACCGCGGACGTCGGCTTCTCAATGGGAATTGCCGGTACCGAAGTTGCGAAGGAAGCCAGCTCAATCATCTTACTTGACGATAACTTCCGGTCGATTGTCACTGCCATTTCCTGGGGGCGAGCTGTCAACGACGCCGTTGCCAAATTTCTCCAATTTCAGATTACCGTCAATATCACAGCTGTCGTGTTGACATTTGTCTCTTCCGTCTACAGCAGCTCGAACAGCAGTGTTCTTAGTGCTGTACAGCTTCTCTGGGTGAATTTGATTATGGATACATTTGCTGCCCTGGCTTTGTGAGTATTCCTTTCTAACTTTCTTGCTATTTTCTCTCCTTTTCTAACCAGAAATAGGGCAACCGATGCTCCAACAGAGCAGATCCTTGACCGCAAACCCGTACCCAAAAGTGCTTCGCTCTTCACCTTGACGATGTGGAAAATGATTCTTGGCCAAGCAGTCTACCAACTTGCCATCACCTTCATGCTCTACTTTGCCGGCGACAAGCTTCTCGGGGCTCACCTGGACAACGATGATCTGGAGCTCCGCTCGAAGCAGCTCTCCACAGTCGTTTTCAATACATTCGTTTGGATGCAAATCTTCAATGAATTCAACAACCGTCGCCTTGATAATAAGTTCAATATATTCGAGGGAATGTTACGGAACTACTGGTTCCTGGGTATCAATGCCGTAATGGTCGGCGGACAAGTCATGATCATCTACGTTGGTGGCGCAGCCTTCGGCGTGACCCGACTGAGCGGTATTCTTTGGGGAGTCTGTATCATCTGCGCGCTGGGTTGCTTACCGTGGGCTGTCGCTCTGCGCATACTACCTGACCGACATTTTGGCATTGTTTTCAATGCTGTTGTCCGTGCGATATCATTCGTCCTGCGACCTATTGCCAAAGCATTCAATGCTTTCGTCCGGGGCACAAAGGCCGCTTTTCGACCTCTAGCGCGCACGACTCGTCGGGCGTTCTCTCGATCTGGAAAGCAGACTGACAAAAACGAGCAGGAGTTATCCAATAACCCTGCTACCAACATGTCTCATGTTATCGATGAAGAAGCTCCTGCTCCTGCTCCGGCGAAACTGGCTCGGCAGGAAAGCCCCGAGCGTCCGCAAACGCCACCGGCGATTGCTGTGCCTCCGATTACGGTTACGATCTCTCCTTAGTGTTTTCTTTTTCTTTTTCTCTCATCTCGTTTTGAATTTATGCTTCTGGATTCTGTCATAGAGCGGGTGTTATTGGGCGGCTATTAGCGTTGACTTTATTGCACCATAGATCATGGACTTACAGATATACGAATGGGATACCCCTCGAATATGTACTTTTAAAGATACTCTACAACAATCATCTATGTTTATTCTCACTTTCTGCCCTCTGACCGTCAACATGTCCATTGGCTTTCGGCGTGTTTAGCTTTGAAACTACACGTATCGGAGCAAAGGATGTCAAATGAAGGATAATATCAATTCTCGAGGCTTTTTGTCATGCTAAAAAAGATAATTAGTTCATCTGCCGTTTCAAAAACACGAAATCCAAACGCACAATCATAAATGGATAACACAAAGAAAAGGGAGGCGTGTTATGAGCGACGATTGGGATGGAAACAAATGCCGGACGGTTCTCCTATTCAAATTAGTATGCCACTTCAGTCTATGGGCGTCCGTCCCGGAGTTGGGGTGATATCGGGGTCGGTGGTACCAAATGTAGGGTTTGACCTGACTCCAGTCACAAGGCCATGAAGCGAAGCAGTGACGCCATACCCATTGTCTGCATGCGACGAGAGGATGCGAGCCTGGGAACGCAGGGTGGAAACCATGTTGTTGGCCATGCCAATCTCAGCGGGTGTAATGGGAGTGCGAGCAGTGGAGGTGCTGAATCGAGAATGCTGGATGTCGTCGGCAATGCCGTGGAGCATGGCGACTGCCTCGTCGTAGAGCTTGGTACGACTGATGTCAATAAGCACGCTGTTGACCGATTCGATCCTGGCGAGGAAACCCTCGAGCTTGGCCGAGAACTCGCTGAGTGGCATGGTGAATAGCTGTAGAAGACGTCAGTGGAAGTGAAGAATACTATAGGAGTATACGGGGAGGCTTAGGAAGAGCCTTAGGGAAAGTCAGTAAAGTGAGCTGAAGCGAGCAGAGGTTGTTGTGGTGGTTGGTGGCTTCTCTATTCCATTCACTGCGTGAAAGCTCGAGGCCTTAAATGCTTCTCCCGCTAGGATCGTATCATATGTAAACTACTCATTGGCCTTTTGGAGAAAAATGGATTGTAGAGAAAATGACTAAGACAATGTTGCCCTCTCTAAGAATGGAACTAGAAAAATCACTGGAGGACTGGGTAAGACTCTGTAATAGAAGGCTCTTTGTTTTCAAATATGAGTTCACTCATTGTCTATTAAGACAAAACAAAACATTTCGAAGGGAGTCGTCATGTCTTGTAAAGAAATTAGAGTTTTTGTAGTAAAAGAATGGCATGGTTTGACCTCATTGTCCCAGAACCTCCTCTTTGTTCATACAATTTAAGCTTGATTTTCGGCCCTTTTTTCAATGCGTATTTGTCCTTTCGCCAATGAATGTAAGCCAAATAATGCTAGAGAGAAATATTCGATACGATCGAGGAAGTTTAGTAAGTGGGCTGCAGGTACTAAATAAGTGTGAATAAGATACTGTATGGTCATATTTGCGCTAAAATTGAGAAGTTTCTATAGTATCTAGTATACATTGTCATCATCAAAGACGCGCCACTAACTTGGTTCCTGATACCTGCCCCTGGCGAAGCATTTGAAGTCCTGTGGCCAAATTTTCTAGCCCCGGGTCAATGATTTTCAAAGGTGGCGGTCTTAGCTGCTTAACAATGTCGGGAAATGTAGAGTAAAAACGACGTAGCGCTTCATTATCAGACTGTATTTTCTGGAACTTTGGTCCGAATGGAGGAAGCCACTGAAATTCTGACCCAAAAACAGTGTATCCAAGTATGAATTCGATTTGCGCTCCATCCATGGTGGATTTTCCACTGTCAAGTAATGTTATTACCTTCCCATGGTTTTTGCGGACACACTTCGCGCAGAACTCGGTTGAATTGCCTTCAGAAAAGCAATCCATCGCCCGATCGAGGTTGGGATATGCTCGAATAATCTGGTCGACAGCTGCTTGGTCTCTATAATCGAAAACCTCGTCTGCGCCATAACTTTTCACCAGGTCAAAAGAGCGGGGTGATGCCGTGGCCACAACTGTCAGGCCAGCTAGCTTAGCAAGCTGGATGGAATAAATGCCGGCTGCAGTTGCGCCTGAGTAGATCAGGATTGGCGTGTCTCTCCGACTCGGACCTTGTCCTTGATTCGCATTCTCTGCAAGCCAAGGAACATCCAATCGCGTGTTCAATGCTAGCATCGCAGTAATGGCCGAAACACCAAATGTAGTCGCATCTTCGTCGCTAACCCCAGGCGGAACTTTCCAAGCCAAATCACCACTTGTTTTGAGAAATTGGGCGAATGATCCACGATCGGGAAACAATCCACCATGAACCATTCCAGCTATCCTGTCACCAACTGCCCATTTATTGGCTACTTGAGACCCAACTTTCGCAACGGTCCCCGCAAAATCGCAGCCGATGATAGCTCCTCGTGGAGAGAGAACATCGACATGTTTAAAATCCGTAGGGTTAAGTGCGACCCAGGCTACCCGAACCAAGACTTCGTTCTCTGATATAGATGGGATGGGAATTGATTTGATCTTCACCCCATTGCCGGATGATCTTCCAAGGCCATAGTTTGCAAGTCGAGTCAAAGTTGAACGATCCCCGACCAGGGCCTCCATCGCATTCGAAAAGCCAGCCATGTTGATTAGAAAAGAAGACGGGGAAGATAGAAAAATAATAATCCAGCCACCCGAATCCAACCCTATCTTTATCGTGAGATTTATGAGATAAAGTACTGGGTTATGCGCAACTCAAGCTACTAGCGGACGATCCCCATGCCGACGGGGCTTTCAGTTATGCCGAGTGTTGAATAATCGCTGCATGTTTCGACCCTAGATTCCCTTGTGGAGAATGAGTTTATTTTGTTTTGCCACTCCCTCTCGATCGACGAATCAAATTCCTCATTTCTCCAGGACCCGAGGTTCAACTAAGGCGGTGACTCGGGCTCGCAAACGACACCCCTTTCATCAAAGTGGGTTTCTCCTGTGGGACTTGTTCGCTCGTAATGGTGTCCGTGTCGAGTATGCTCTTCGCTAGCTTACCCCGGGTCCGTTCCGGACTTTCTTCTCATCGATGGCGTGGCTTTCGCTGAGATGCAGTTCCTCGGTTTCCCCGCAATCATTCCCCCAAAAGGTAACAAGATAACTCTTACGGCCGGTAAACTGACCCTTGCTTTCTACCTCTGAGATGAAAACTTACCGAGGCATTCCATTCTGATTACCAGATCCAAATATAAGAGAGACTCGATGCGCCACTCCAGCTTCATCATCTATAATTTCCCAATTTTGAATCATTCACCACCATGGAAGAGGATTACGACGTGATCATCATCGGCGCCGGCATTTCCGGCATCAACGCTGCCTACCGCCTACGATCTCAATTTCCGAAGCTTCGCTATGCTATTATAGAGGCACGCGAAAACGTCGGAGGTACCTGGGATCTTTTCAAATATCCCGGTATCCGGTCCGATTCGGACCTCTTTACATTCGGCTTTGCCTGGCACCCTTGGGATCAAGACAATCCAATTGCTCATGGCCATTCTATTGTCAAGTATCTGAAAAATGCCGCTGAGAAACATGGCATCGCAGAGAACATTCTCTTCAACCATCGCGTCATTGGCGCTGACTGGTCATCGGTTGACAACAAATGGTCACTCAGTGTTGAACACCAGCAGCAATCCAAATCCCTTACAGCCAGGTTCCTATTGCTTGGTACTGGATATTATGACTACAATACTCCTCTGCAGACTGAGATACCGGGGCTAGATCAGTTCCAAGGACAAGTCATCCACCCACAGTTCTGGCCAGAGGATCTTGACTATAGTAACAAAAAGATTGTCATTATTGGAAGTGGCGCCACAGCTGTGACACTTTTGCCGAAGCTGGCCGAGAAAGCAAATGTGACAATGTTACAGCGCAGCCCGACCTACATTCTGTCCGTGCCAAACAGAGCCAATTCCTGGCTGAGCTCAATACTCCCAACGTCGCTCCATCGCCGACTTCAACGAATCCGATTTCTCTACATATCTCGATATTTCTTCCTGTTTTGTCAATCCTTCCCAAGCTTCTCCAGTTGGCTTCTTGGTCGATCCATGACTCGACAGCTCCCTAAGCATATTCCTTCAAACCCGCACTTCCAACCTCGCTACAACCCATGGGAACAACGTCTATGCGTGTGTCCCGATGGTGATTTTTTCAAAAGTCTACATACAGGCCGAGCAGATGTGAAGACCGACACAATTCGCAACGTCTCTTCGTCTTCAATAGAACTAAATTCTGGCGAGACTCTTGATGCTGATATCATTGTCACTGCTACGGGACTCCGTCTGCAAGCTGCGGGTGGCATTTCTCTCTGCGTCGATGGTGTGCCTCAACATATTCCTGACAAATTCACTTGGCACGGTATGATGTTGCAGGATCTACCCAATCTTGCCTTCCTTCTGGGTTATGTCAATGCATCTTGGACCCTTGGTGCAGATGCGACATCACAATTTATCTGCCGGTTGTTGAAAGAGATGGAAGAACGCGGTGTCAAAGCGTCTGTCCCGAGAGTAGAGGCAGAAACTGCAGCAATTATGGCCCCTCGTCGCCTATTGAATCTGAACTCTACATACGTTCTGAAGGCACAAGACAATTTCCCCAAGGCAGGTAATCAGGGACCGTGGCAGCCACGTAATAACTATTTCGATGATATGAAGTTTGCTCAAAGGGGAACACTCGAAGGATTGGAATTCCTTGGGGCGAAGAAGACCTTGTAGATATCACATTGCTTTTATATGACTTTATTCTAGTCAGGTAGCTGAAACTCTTAGCATATTATCTTGAAAAATCCTCATAATGCTTTCAGTCTTTCGACTCGGAGTTAATAGAATAAGAAGAGTCGCCATATTTAGGAAAACCTCTTGTGGGGGTACCTCGCAGTGAGTCCAAAGGCACATGGGTTGTGAAAGACGATAACTTGTCAATCAATGTGCAGAATTGATGAACAAAGACTTGGACACAAAGCACCGAGAGACTTTTTAGAAATTATTAAGATCATTTCATTATTTAAATTCCCCTTCTTTTGACGGAGAATTCTATTCGCTCATGCCTCATGCTGATGGTCATCTCGTGAAACAAAGATCAAAGGACTACTAGTAATACTTACCTACGCCAACATCAAACATATAAAGATCCGAAACAACGCAAAGACCTCAGGTCCTTAAATTTTAAGCCCGAGACGTAAACCTCGGTGACTCAAGTACCGTTATCTCTTCAAAGTTTCTTTGAAATATTATCGAGCTATGAGTTCCGCTAGCTCGGCCCCATTTTTGATGGCCGTACCATATATCACCGATCGCCTTCGTTCGATCGTTCACATTCTAACCTGTCACTGTGTGGGCATCTCTGGGGATTTGAAGAATGATATTCCTATCAAGGTTATACATATTTGTGGTATGATCTCGACCATGCTTGAGTCCAACTCTGATCTGAACATCGACGAGATCAATCTTATTGGCACTGCGATCGATGTCATGGATGAGCAGGTCAACCTGCTCAAAGACCAGCCGGGACGGTCTCTTAAGGCATTAACTGCTTTTAAGGAACTGCTATCTAAAGTTATTGACTTACTACGAGAGAGAAGAGAAGCTCGAGATCTAGCTGAACCTTCTTCTAAGAGCCCCGAATGGATCGAAGCGGTATGGGAGAATTTTAATAAGGCCGTGGACGAGCATGCTTCTGAATCGGAAGACCCTGATGGCGTAAGGGATATTTACAATGACTTAATAGATCAATTTATTCTGGAGGGCCAAGAGAGATGCATGATCTCAAAAAGATCTGATCCCAGACGGTCTCTTAAGGTTCTGGTAGTAGTGGAGGATCTCACGCGTGGTTTAATCAAGCTTCGTAACACGCCGCCATAAATTCGCCGAAGCGAGGAATATAAGCTACAAGATCTATCTCATGATATCGAGTTGTCTGATATTTTTATAGAAGTCGGCATCAAATGTCGCTGCTATTTTTTGCAATTATTTACTCGGGCGATTGCGCATTTGATTCCCATGTTTCTTCGGGTCATGTCTTTAGAATTTTATACCGCCCTCGCCTATAAAGTTGCAGGCAATTATTATTGAAATCCAAAGAAAATTCTTTTTTATACTATGTAGTAAACTTCCCAATTTCAAGTTAACTCGTTGCTTAGTACCTAGGTATCCGCTCGGCTTTTTGAGGCTAGGTGACGAATCAGATGGGCTTGGCCTTAGATATTCTGTTATTGCGAAGGAGTAAAAAGTATAAAGCATAAAACTGGTAAACCCGGTAAGGTCTGTGTGACTTATTGCCATGGAAAAGCCACGCGCTGCTGATAGATTTGATTTTTCCATGAAAGATCTCACTCGAATTTGAAGCCCGGAATAGGCAGGCTGCACCAGCTCCATACGACTTCGAGTTTGGTAGTTCTTTTCCCATCATCAGCTACCCGATCTAATATCGGAATCAAAGTGTTTTTCTACTTCACATGTCATACCCACATGGCCACATCATCCAAATTGCCATTGTGGGCTCGCGGGGGTCGAAATAAGGGGCATGTTTTGGGCATGTATGGCCAGGTATGGGATCTCACCATCATATGAATAACGCATGAGATTTGTCAAAATTGAGTCATGTAGATCAAATCCATTGCGATTGCTCCGGGTAGAGGATTACGTGTGCACCTTACGCATAGGCACAATTTTCCAATGAAGGGGATCATAAAGATGTCAGTACCACTTAGTATTTGTAACACTGCAGGGCCTAGCTCGTGATCTACTTAATTCAAGACTGGATTAAACTTGCATCCTGGTGCTATTATCTTTAGAGTCGATTCCCTGATTGCTCGATTCCTGCTCTTTCACTCCCCGGTGGAGCGGTTTCATCATCGGTTGGATCTGCGCCTATTCTAGGATCGACAACATATGGGGCCGCGGAGACGAACTTAAGCCCCATGAGGGACTTTGTGCCTTGCCCTGCATAAATTGGAAAGCTTGGAGCTCAAAACATGGTCTGTGTCGGACCATTGATTAGCGATGGTGGTTCCTAGAAAGCTTGGTCCGCGGATCCGGGCAAAACTTAGCCATTTTCGGGTGCCCGAGTCCATTTTTAGGCCACTGAGGTGATTGAGGTCCAGAATATCGCGGGAGATCCGCATGGGTTCCATCTTTGATTGATTGGTCTAGTAGTTGCTATGAGTAAACTTGTGGGTGATGAGTATACTGGCAATACTTACGCCCGCGACCGTAAAATCAAGCAGGTGCATGTGCATGTGCTAAATCCAGTTCAAGTCATGAGTTGCTTCTATATTTGATTTCAGGTAATACTTGCCCAGGTTCCCTTTATTTCATCTTATTCTTCTGGTTTCTTTTTTCTCATGTTATCCCTTTATTTCCATTCATACGCTTACTCCTTGACAGCTCCTTCGCCGTCCTCCTCCACGCCTTTCTTCTTACACTATAGAATCTACTTCGACAATAAGCCCCGACTGTCTGTCACCTTCATTGTCACCCTCCACTAGGGGTTACTTACAATTCATTCTCGATGGGAATGGACTAGAGTTTACCACAGATGAAAGGTTCATCCGCTGGTCGGCCTCGAACCCCAAACACCCGCGCAACTGGCACATGCCCCGAAAGATATACGACAGCAGTTTGATTATATTTCTTGATTTTTTCACGCAAGTTCTATGCTGAGTTCTCTTTCAAGGATTGCTTCGGCTAACATATGTTTTTTAATAGTACTGCCATTAGTACTGCCGGCGTGAGTGGTTCGGAAACTCGTACGATTGGCCGCAACTAACCATGCATCGATAGAGCGCCGCAGCTGATCGTGCTCAACATGATTATGATATTGGGAAAGAATTTGCCCTTTTTCTATTCGTTTCACTGTCAGTTTCAGATTCTTTATACCTTGTATTTGACTAAGTTTTTGGTTGTGCTTGCAGATATCTACTGGGTCAATGTCTTGGAGGAATCATATTCCCATCGTTCTCAGAAGCCTTTGGGCGTAAAAGGCTATACATCATTAGCACTGGCCTGTACAGTGTCTTTTGTGTAGTTGTCGGTCTCTCGCCTTCTCTTGCCGGCATCGCAGTCGGTCGTTTTTTTCTCAGGATTCTTGTCGGCTATTCCGACTATTGTCGTGGCTGGCAGTATTGAAGATTTATATAATTCAAAAGACCGCATCTGGATGATCTTTCTTTGGGCTATGGTTGCCAATATGGGCATGTGTATAGGGCCAATCATCAGCACATATATCGCTGAGCACTTGGGATGGTAAGTAGCCGGTCCCCTGTTAGATTTTGATAGAATGGATACTCAACATCATCGGACATTTAGGCAGTGGACGTTTCATGTTGCAGCAATTGTGACTGGTGTGGTGTGTTTTCTTCTCATTGGGATTCGTGAGTCACGGCCCTCCTTAATTCTCGTACGAGAAGTGGCCAAACTGCGAAGTGAAACCGGCATCGATACGCTCAAAGCATTGAACCCCGATCATACACCGGACTTGATGACTTTCATTCGCCTCGCACTATTTCGTCCAATTCAGCTCTTCTTTACGGAGCCTATCATTTTCTTGGTCTCTACTATAAGTGCGATCGCATTCGCTATGGTCTATCTTTTCACAGAGGCCTTGCCTCCGGTGTACCAGTCAATGGGGTTCTCTAATGAATCGTCTACTCTTCCATTCCTGGCGATATGCATTGGTTTGGTTTTGGGATTACTAACCCGCATCAAAGATCATCGAAAAATCACATATGCCGAGGAGCAAGGTATCGTGCTAGAACCCGAACATAAACTCATCGGCTTCTCAATCGGAGCACCTTTGCTTGCTGGTGGGCTTTGGTGGTTTGCCTGGACTATTCCTCCATTGGTAGACGTAGACCATTTTTATTGGGTCGTATCGGCCATATCCTTGGTTTTCATTGGGTATTCATTGAATGAGTTCGACACCGTCCTTGGCGGATATCTAGCAGACAGTTATCTGAGTTTCTCTGCCAGTGGCTTTGCAACGCTTGCGCTCTTGCGCTCATTGCTGTCAGCTGCCTTTCCACTGTTTGCCGCGGATATGTTCGAAGGACTTGGTGCAAATGTAGCCTCGTCGATCCTCGCGGGTCTGGCTACTTTGTTTTGTGTTGTGCCACCGCTGTTCACAAAATATGGCAAGCAAATTCGAGCTCGCAGTAAGTTTGCTCGGTATAGCTTGGAGGTTTATCATGAGAACAGTATTGAGAAAAACGGACTTTGAATTTCCCCTGGAGTTGAGCGATATTGGTTGCTTAAAATCATGGCTCTGTCTCTATCAAGTAAAACTGAAGCTGCAATAGAACAAAATTGAGCATTGATTACTAGTAGTACTAGTGTTTTAGAGTCCAGGAGGCAATGAAAACACATATATTTCTCTTTGGCAATTAAAATAGATTTAGAGTATAGACTACTAGTAGTATAGATCATCTTGTTAGGCATCATAGTATTTTACTGCGGCATGATGATTTCTGCCTGAGGCCATCAATAAGCCCCCATCGCCTCCACCACTCACCTCCACCACTGGCAGCTCCGTCACTCGTGAACACTTCGATCCTCACCTCTCTCCCTCGTCTCAGCTCCTTTCTCCTCGAATTTGAACAAGGAAATCTACAGTTCCCCTTGACTTTGCACAACCTCACCTCGGCATTCCTGTCTGCCTATTCCCCCCACCACTTCAAGTCAGCAACTCCTCCCCCCGAGACCTCCCCCGCTCTCTCCCGTTGACATACCAAAGCCACACTCGCCGCACCCCGCCAGGTACAACGCCTCCACCAACACCGCTGTGGTCGATCGCGACTCCTCTTAAATACCAATTCCTATCCCCGTCTACCTCCTCCGCTCTACAGGTGAACGCAAACCCGCCACGATGTCGCAAATCAACTACCGTACCATCAACATCGACCAGCTCGACCCCGAGTCGTCGGTCAACTTCCCTATGGAGACTCTTCTCCCCGCTACTTTGCCCCAACCCGGAACCTCAAGTGAGGCGGCTAATGTCGCAACCCAAGTGCGACAACTGCTGCGCGGTGGTGACGCCGAGGGTGCGCTTCGTGCAGTTCTGGACACAGCACCGCTTGGCGGCGACGAGGGTGCTAAGCAGGTGCATCTTGCTACCGTGACTGAGGTGCTGCAGGGTATTCGCCAGGGCGAAATGACCCGTGTCCTAGAGGGTGTCTGTGCCGGAGATGGCGGGGCAGAGCGAGCGGATTGCTTGATGAAGTACCTGTATGTGTGCCCCGGGGGATCCAACCTCTCCAGACCGACGGTGCCCCATCTAGGCCTAGACAACTGTGCTAACTTGAACCAGCTACAAGGGCATGTCCTCCCCTGCCCCCGGCAGCGGATCCCAGTCGCCGCGCAACAAATCCGTTTCCCCGCAAAGCACCGGTGGCTTCTCGCAAATCCAAGGTCGCAACCTGGGTGAAGGTGGTGGTGGTCAGCAAATGAGCGTGCTACTGAACTGGCATGAAAAGCTAGTCGAAATTGCAGGCACCGGCTCAATCGTTCGAGTCATGACTGACCGCCGGACGGTTTAAGCGTGAAACAAGCAACAAATATCGCGATTTTCTTTTCTATATTATTACTCTTGGTAGAGGGTTGATTGCATTCCATAAAGTTTTCTTCTGCTAAATAGTCTTTCTCTTGTGTCGACTCTTTCAGCGTAGCTATTTTACAATTGATGTGCTATAAAATTATTGATAGGCCATCGTAGGCCATCTCCCAGGCTTTCTGTGCTCCCGTTTTTTTTTTCTGCGCCTTATATTTATGGCTTCTGGAAGTCACCTCCACCTAGGAGCTCCGAGAGGTTCATCTCACCACTTCCACGTTCCAAAGGTTGCGGCTGGTTTTTATCCTCCTTCCAACCGATCATGTAGATCAATCGGAATGTGGCCGGGATACCAGGCGCGCCCTCTTCCATATGCAGAGATCGGTAGATAGCTTCGTTGGCAAGCAATACCTCTCGCGACAAAGGCCCAGCCTCCCGGTGCAGAATTGCATTGCTTTCGCCCATCGCCTGCAGGTCCTGCATGAGCGCGAATGTATCTGGGAACTCGACCACAATATCCTCAACATCAACGGTAAGCATCTTGAATCCAGCACGATTCAGCAAGCTGCCCACATCCTTCACATCTGCCAGTGGTGATACATGCGGACTCACGCCGCCGCGTCGCTCCATGTCTGCCAGCTGGAGCGATCCACGTAGTTCGTAGAGGGTATCACCACCAAACATCGCCGCGATGAATGGGGCATCGGGCTTGAGCATTGTGTTGACTTGGTTGAGTAGGGCAGGGAGGTCATTGATCCAGTGGATCGATAATGATGAGAGCACCGCATCAAAGGTGTTGGGTTGGTAAGGTAGTGTTTCCAAGTCCGGAATCAGCTCACGGTGAATATTGATCTCCTTATTAAAGGGCATCTCTTCATCCCGGTACAGAAGCGCTCGCGAGGTATCCACACATGTTAATTTTGAGATACGTTCTGCTAGTGGTGGAGTCGATTGGCCCTCCGGCGCAGCCAGGTCAAGATCAGGTGTTGTTAGAGCCCGGGCAATGTTGCAGCTGTTTGCGCCTAGGTCGAGAACATTCGGGAATTCGCGCTTGATATCCTATTGATCCAAGAGAAGCTCTGAGTCAGCAAAATGTATCTGCTTAAGTTCTCCAGTGACGACAATCCTCGTTCCATTGGGCTCTTACCAGTAAGCGCTCGCATAATCGCCTTGCAACCTCATCTTTCAAATAATCGACTTTTCGGCTCTCTTCGACATTCTGGGCCGCCCGTTCTTTTTGGAGGCGCTTGGTCTTGCGGTTGAATACCTCCAGCATCGGATTGCCGGGGGTCTGGCTGGCGTATGTCCGGATGCTGGCGCTTGCGGCGAAGCACCGTCGGGGCACGGTGGCCCGAAATGTGTGTATAGGTATCATAAGCGTAATCGCTATATTCCGTAATTAGCTGACGTCCAAATCAAGGGTAGAGATATCCTAGAACCTTTTGTGCGGAGGGGGGTGGAGTGGGAGGTGAGTGAAAGGTGAAAGGGAAGGGCGAATCTTAAATTTTGTCTGACGTCGATTGTTGATGCGGAACCTCCGCAGCTTCTCTCCGCGACTGCTCGTGCACTCCGTCGCGCCCGCAATTGCGGCTCAACAATCTCGATTTCTGCGAGCTTCCTTACTCTCAGGTAACCACAAGTCTATCGGGAATAGCTACTGCTGCTTTCATTCTTTCTCTGGTTCGTTTTCGCGCCATAAACGCAGTCTCTACCCCCCACGACATGCGCAGCCAGGAGGGAGGCCCAAAGTCGTCGCCCGGGGACTTGCAAGAAAGACATGCTAACACCCGCTACCGATAGGGATCATCTCTATTTATCGGGCATCACCTTTCAGTACGCTCACTACACCAGTCGCCCTGGCCACTGGCCCTTCCCATTGTTACAACCCCCCCACCAACGCGAAGCATGACTTGACCGAGCAATAAACCCTCATATCAACCACCCGTCTCCTGATTAGCAAGATTCTCATCCTATAAACCAAAAATGGCCTGTCCATTTCCTTATACCTATGTCTCGTGCCCCTGTGCCGACACACCTATCCCCGACCCAGCCAGAAAGCGCAGGTCCAGGGAGTCGCCGCAGAAATCAACCCCCGAGCGCACAAATGCTAGCAGCGGTCAGGACACACAGGAAGTGAAACCGCCGCACACTCAAGATGAGCAAGATGAAGAGGAGGAGGAGGAGCAAACCTTCGACCCGAGATCACCTCGGTCCAACTTTTCACTATATCCACCTGAACAACTCCTTTACTGCGAAGATTGCCACCAGATCAAATGCCCGCGATGTATAACGGAGGAGATTGTGAGCTGGTACTGCCCGAACTGCTTATTTGAGACACCCAGCAGCATGGTGAGAGGAGATGCAAACCGGTATGTACACGTGCATCAATCCCTGTTCAAATACCACTGTTGCTCACCCAAGAAATCGCAGATGCGGTCGGAACTGCTTCAATTGTCCCGTCTGTACAGCTCCGCTATCTGTCAGTACAATTGAGAATGTCACAGGAAATGGAAATCAGCAAGGCCCTTGGGTCTTATCCTGTGGTTATTGTCTTTGGACAACGCTTGACATCGGTATCAAGTTCGACAAACCCACCAATATTCGCAACCAGCTACAGAAGATGACCGACTCTCTATCTGGCCCAGCATTTGATACTCGGTCAAGACAAGGATCCCGCGCTTTCGGCGATCTCAAATCACCTTTGTCCAATCTGGCATCTATTGAAGAGCCCGCTACTACTCAAGATGGTGCCGAAGAGCAACGCACGCAGAATGACCAGGAAGTTACGCCCCATCTCAGGCGCAGAGGCCCGATTTGCGACTCTGAAGAACTTCTATCGGTCACAAATTTCCGAGACATCGACTTCTCCAAGTGATCCTATGGGCTCGGACTTTGGGTTCTCGTCGCCCGGTGCGTTGAACCGACTCATGTCTCTGTATGCTTCATCGTCACGTCTAAGCGGACTTTATGGCGGAAATAAGAAGCAAAAGCCCAAGCCACCAGTCATGCGCGAAGCAATAAACGCTAGCGAGGGTCTTCGCATTGCCTCAGAAGACGGCGACGCCTCCATCATAGAGCGACTTGCTTCCCCGGATTGCGGTTGGGATGGCGTAGCATCACTGAGCCAGCGCACAGAACAATCTCCTGATGTCCGATTCTCCCATGACCTATTGCCATTACCGGTGCTTCTTCGCACAAAACGTGCTAAGCGATGCAAGTCCTGCAAGCATATTCTCGTCAAGCCCGAAACCAAACCACAATCTACACGCTTCCGTATTCGCCTTATTGCTCTCAGTTACATCCCACTCCCGACATTACGTCCCCTTACGCTTCCATCTTCGTCTCTGGTCCCGTCTCCGGCTCCAGATCTGAATGCACTGGCCCCGTTGCGTCCCGTCCATGTTCTGCTTACACTGAAGAATCACATGTTTGATCCGGTGCGCATTACCCTGGCTACTCCGTCTGTTACTCCAGGCCGCGTCGCAAGCAAAGTGACGGTGCTTTCCCCTCAATTCGACATTGGGCCCAACAGCGATGTCTGGGATGAGGCTTTACAAGGTGCGTCGGCGCCTATCACGACCGATCCTCGCCTCCGCGCTGCCGAGAAGGTTCCTGAGGCCGGCAAGGTCTGGGACAAGGGTCGCAATTGGACTACAGTTGTTCTTGAAGTGGTCCCAGGAACACTACCTGGCTCGGAAGCTGAGGGTGGAAAGGAAGGGGCCGATGAGGATGAGCTCGCAGTTGCTTCGCAGCAAGATGAGGATGTTCTCGAAATCCCAGTGTTTGTGCATATGGAATGGGATGCCGAGGCACAGCTCGAGCAGCAGAATGTTGGAAAGGAAGCTAAGCCAGGTGACTTGGTGGCTCGAGAGTTGGCCTACTGGATGGTGCTTGGTGTGGGGAGGATCACGGCGTCGTTGTAGTTGACAGGTGAAGAGGTGGTTGTTGTTGGCATTTTATTTTTCTTTCTTTCTTTCCATACCCCTGTGCATTTAGTTTTAGTAAATACTTGACTCAATGCTGTAAATTCTTCTACAATGTTGCATCGAACCCAGATAAAAGACAAAGAGGCATCTCAAAACCACTGACTGTAGCCACTACTGGGTATGATCAGCCTTAGAGCGGTCCGGGCGCTGCACTCAACTACGCAGGCATGTGTTTTGAAAGTCGGAATTGTTCGATTGGAATATTATCACATATCCCATCCCATCCTCATTAAGAGGAACACGGCTCGGATGGAAACTCATCTCCGTCGCCTCGCCCAGTAGTATGAAACGGAGGCCTTAAAAACCATGCACCAGTCAATGGGGGGCACATAACTCAAAAGAAAAACCCGTAATGCATTTTTTGGTTCTTTCACCCGTCATGCTCTCCTTGAATCTAGAGTGAATCCGGACCTAGAAACAAGCAACCCAAAATACACCTCATTTCCTTCCCACCCGCAAACAGCAAACGAGCAGCTTAGTACTCAGCACCGCTCTGGGGGAACTCGAAAACAACAGCACGGCCGGTCAACCGACGGTAGACCTCGCCGTAAGCATCGAGACGGTGGTCAACACCACCCTTCTCCTTCTCGTCCAGGACAACCTTCAGGGTCTTGGAGCCATCCTCCTTGGTGCGAGTGCGCTTGCCAACGATCTCGACGGGGTAGACGAGGTCGGACAGGATGGACTCGTGGACAGCGGTCAGAGTGCGGGAACGGGGGCGCTTCTGGGTCTGGTTGGAGCGCGAGGTGACGGAGCGCTTGGGGCGGGGCAGGATGCGGCGCTGAGCAACGAAGAGGACGTGGCGGTCAGAGAACTTCTTCTCGAGCTCGCGGGTCAGACTGTTGGCGAAAGAAAAAAATCCAAATTAGTCCCATTGTTCCAGGCCTTGGTAAAAAAAAAAAATTCCAGATTGTCGAGAGGTGTCGTCTTACCGCTGCTGGATCTTGTGGAATCCCTGGAGGAGAGGGACGGGGACGAAGATAACAATCGCCTTCTTGCCGTGGCCGACCTCGACCTGTTGGAGAGGGTATGTTAGTACTTTGTTGTTCCGAGGTGTCCGCACCCAATTATTGCGGGAGCAGAAAAAACCCAATTCTCGCCCTGCCGGAACTGTCGTCAAGGGAATGTGTGTGTCGAAGGTTCCATGTCTCTCGGAAGATCCCAATTCACTTTTCAGTTGCATTGGGACATTTACATTGCGAAATTGATGCAATCCCACAATGCCCACAAATATTTCCATCTCTTTCTCCGATAAGACCACCACAACGAGATTCCCTTGCGATGCGGTTCCGGAAGAGTTCGATAGGCGTGACGGATGCAATTCTTACCTCACGGGCAGAGGTGAACTGCAGAGGACGAAGGTTGGCCTTCAGGTCCTGGGTGTTGCTCTCGAGGTCGAAGAGAGCGCCGGCAATCGCGTTCTCCAGCTCGGAGGGGTTTTGCCGGGAGGGCGAGTTGGTGGCAATCTTGTTGATGGCAGCCATGATTGCGAGCGACGGGAGTGCTGCGAATTTGCTGGTTGAGGTCGGCGGAGGGTGAGGTCGGTCGGCGTTCAAGACGTGGGAATGGAATTTGCCCAGCTGTGGGATCCGGCTTAAGCGAGGGCACTACTTCCCAAAGGGGACTAGCGTTATTCTTTCCACTTAGGTGATGACTGTCACGTGACTCCTCAACCCTCGCGTGGCCGCTGATTGGCTGACAATTAATTGTAATCCTTACATCCTATGGGATGTATATGATTGCAATTGCGGTTGCTTGCATTACAAACTCTGCTGATGCGAAGATGCTCTACATGGCAGCAATGTACAGTTGCAAGAGTTCAATATTGCTATCGGTAAAGGGATATAGAAGTGAACAATGAGCATTGCTTAGGAGCAATCCAACAAGCAGAACGGGAGACGCCTGTACCCATGGGGAAATTTGCAAGGTGATTCAAAAAAGAAAATAAAAAAAAGACAGATCAACAAGCACAGCCTTCCTTTGCTGTCGCCGCACTTCGGTCGCCAAGGTTTACTCGAGAGTCCTCCGCCGACCGGCCTCCCAACGCAGTCTGGCCCGTGCCGGCACCGCCACGGCCGGTTTTCAGGCTGCTCTCGGGAATGGCATTAGCGATGGCAGTGAAAACGTCCACCACGTTAGTTCCGGTCTTAGCACTAGTCTCAAAGAACAAGAGACCCTCCTCATCTGCATATGAGCTCGCTTCACGGGTCGACACTTTTCGAGCATCGCCAGGGGTCGTGTCCTGCTCTTCGCCTTCCTCCGCAGCACCCTCTTCTCCATCATCTCTAACGGGCTCGCTCTCAGATTCAGTGGCCGTTGCCGCTGAAGTATCGCCGCCGTCGTTGGTCAAGTCCAGCTTGTTACCGACAAGAGCGATGACGATTCCGGGGCTTGCTTGGCGCTGGAGCTCGGCAACCCAGTGCTTTGCTTTCGTCAGGGACGAGGGCTTGGTGACATCGTAGACCACGAGAGCGGCTTGTGCATTGCGGTAGTACATCGGAGCGAGAGAAGCGAATCGTTCCTGGCCTGCAGTATCCCAAATCTCAAACTTGATTGTGCGTGTAGGAAGAGAGCATTTCTGTGTCAGGAAGGCAGCTGAGCAATAAGGTTAGCCGGGAATGTTCCGAGGTTGTGCTTAGGGATTTCCGAGGCTCTATGGCTTTCTTGGGAATTAGACTGAATGTCATAATCCTAGTACGCAGAGAGCGCCATCTTTAAGACAGGCTTCGCAGAGAACGCAGGCAGCAGCCTTCCCCTCAAGCCAAAGCGCTCATCTGGAGGTGTTCCTTACCGCCGATGGTGGGCTCCTTGTTTTCTTGGAAATCATCGTTGACAAATCGAAGAACAAGTGACGACTGCAAGTAAAAAGAAAGTTCATCAGCAACTAAACCCCGTGAAACTTGGGAGGACAACTGTACCTTGCCGACGGCAGCCTCGCCCAACAAAACTAGCTTCACGCTGCTGCTCGGCTTCGGAGCGTTTGCGCCGGCTGACTCGGACATGACTGAGACAGTAGAATAAGGTGTGAGATAGAAAGATAGCAAGGATTAGGCCGTCCTGCAGAGAGCGACGCCTGACAAATAGTTAGGTGATCGGGCAGGCGGGTGAGCCGGCAGGTTCAGCTGCGATGCTGGTAGCTGGTATTCAAGGATTATATGAGTGAGAGATGGTCTGTTTCACAATCTCAATTTCCTCGTGCTGTTGGGATGAGTAAAAGCTCGATGTCGCAATTCACGGGGAAGCAGGAGGTCGTGGTGGAGGCTGCCGGGCGATGATGATGATGGTTGAGGTCCTGTTCCGGTTTAGCGTGAGCCGTACTTCCTTTGGTCACGGGATCTCTGGTACAGCCTCCGAGGTAGATGGAAATGAATTTATTTGAATTACATTTAATCTGAGAATTAATTGTGCGCGGAGCTATGGGGTGAGACATTACTATGGCAAATTGCATCTCATAAACCTAAGACACACTATCTTCAAGTTGGAAAGCTCAAAAAATACTAGTAGTACCATTGACGACTCGGAGACCAGCTGGACCTAACTCACAAAGATATATTCAACTGCCCCCGGGCCTCCGGGTCCACTTTTTATACTAGCCTGAGTTCAAGTTGAGGTCGCTTCAAGTTGAAGGCTGGGACCTTTAGTTTAGTCCTGCAAATAATAGTAAATAGTTCTAGGTAACGAGTAATCTTTTAACTTGAATTTAGTACTATTTCGTTAATATTCAATTTGAAATTTATTACTTACTAGTAGATTGAGGCGAGCAGGCAATCCCAGTACAGTTCAGGTTATTACTAGTAGCCCCTGGAGAATCTATGCGAAGCATCAGAAAATATAAGATACCGAGCAGGTCATATAACACATGTTGAGATCGCAAATCTTAGTGACGTATCCCTGTCAGGATGTCGTGATGTCGTTCTTGATAACTGCTTTTGGGGCAACGTGGACGAACATGAATAGGCTGCTACTAGTATACTAGTAAATTTTACATAACGAAAGCGATTTTCAAGCTTAGCGCAAACCGAAACAACACCGGGATACCTTACTTAAACCAATGCCATTGCAGTTAACTATCAAAGCCAAATGCCAGAGTCGTTCAAATTCTGATCACGGCCAAGGCGCAACCAAAAAATAACATGGCGATCGACACGAAGAATCCTAGACACGGAAAGTTTGATAGGATTCTTTCCATGAGAAGCACAAAGCAAAATTGATGGCTATTAAGATCGCACTATATCTTCCTTCGCTCAACAGCTCAGCACTTGCGGTCTGGACCTAAGAGGCCTGTTATTGAATGGCGGTCATTCATCACAACCTAGAAAATTGAGAGAACACAAGACAAATTGTCGAGAAAGACAATTGAGTTCTCAGACCTTGCTAGATGAGGGGTTGTGGGTCCAGGGAAGAACTCTCTGTGGAGGAGTTCTTGTTCCTGGACACGACGTGATTCACGGACTAGTGCCCAACAGGCATGCGAGATGATGTCGGGCGCCAGTGGGACCCCAGTCGGGCCCGGGATCTATCTGCCGATGCATCAACAGGTGCCCGGGGATCGAAATCAGCCTGGCGGTTCCTGGCTCGGCATTAGTCCCCAAGCAAACCTGCCCGACGCTCAGTCTAGTATACGTAGCTGTCAAGTCCGAGCGACACGACATTTGGGCTACACGAACATGCCCGTGCTTTTCGAGTTCTAGGGCGGGGATGGGACCTGTAGAGAATCTGGCCACGGATCGGAGGTCTAGAACCGAATCACTGCGTTCAAAATATCGTCATGGTTTAAGGAGGAAGCAGAGACAATAAATGATAGACGCTTTGATTTCGCGATTGTGCGCAACATAATATACAGGCATGAAGTGAATAAACCCAGATACAAATACAGAAACATAAAGTCAAAAGGTAATTTTGCGCGTCAATAAACGTACTATTGTGACCGCGAGGTCCGAAGGTCTAAGTCTTCTGGTATCAGTCCATGCATCCCATGCAATAAATTCCGTCCCATCTATGCCATAACGCCGTGGAAAAAAGAGTCAAACGAAAAGCAGATAACCACAAGACAGCAGGATAATAAAAAAGAAAAGAAAGAACAAAAAGGCACTTTTGAGAGGTCGAAGTGAGGTCATCTCGGTATTTGTCGTAACAGAAGAAAGAAGAGGTGATCGAAATGAAGGAGGTGAAGGTATCCGAGATAACGGCAAGGCGCACGTGCGAAGACGAAAAAAATGAAGAAAAGATAAAACCGAAGAAGTGTCGACGCTGGAAATCCGAACCCGATGCAGAATTGAAGAAATTAAAAAGGGTATAATGAGGTCGCGCAAGGCCAGTGGCGAATCAGTAGCAAAGATATGACCGAGAGATGTGAAAAAAAAGTCACAAGTGGAAAAATAGTGTTACAAATGTCTGCAACTAAGGTTAGCCTTGATGCCCAAAACGAGGCGGGTGCATTAGGGTACTCACCGAAAGATAGAGCAAACTCCGAACGTAGAGGCGTCAAACCCTCAGGAAGCGTAGGCGCCTGACAGATCCAAAACATCGCCAGAAAGCAGGATATGTGTGCTGAATAAGGGTATCATCGCAGGTGATTATTTAGGTGGTGGGGGAGGAGCACCAGGCTTCTTGACGCCCGTTGTATCGTAGGCGCCGCGTCCCATGTTGAAAGCTGATAGGTCTCGGAGAATCATGTTGAGGTCTGCGAAAGCAATCATTGTCAGGGAAGCTTGCGACGAAGATGATGATGCGAAAGACGATGGCAGCAAAGATATCGCGAATGCGACACGGCAGGGTTAAGAATGAGATGGAATAACTCACCAGGTAAATACCACGAACGGGTCTTAAATAGTAGTTATTTCTTTCTCGGCCGGAGAATCGTAGGCAAACGAACTCCCAATCCACCCCCCGTAGCAAAAGCGAAAAGAACCGAGTCTAGACAGGGACGGGCGGTACAGGCGATGGGATGTGGATGCAGTCAAGATCGGAAGACGGATCCTTTTTAAAAGTAAACCTGACTTCACTGGAACAATGCGGGCACCAACAGGTTGTAGGGCAGGAATGTGACGACTGAGAAACCGACAAATAGAGAATGGCGGACGGCTGGTTTTAGAGGCGTCGACAGGTCGTTGCTGGTTGCTTTTTATTTGGGCTCCACCGGTAGATCGCGTCAATCGGATTTCCCCCAAGGAAACGATAAATCCGCAAGTAACCAGAAAAGTACTTCCAAAAAAAGAAAATCAAATAGGAATATTCAATCAACAAGATAGGCGCGAGGGTGGCTGCAGAATCAAGGCCATGAAATCGCGATCTGAACCAGCAAAACGGCTGAGAAGGGATATGAAGCCAAGTCGGCAAGGGAGACCCTGGAAAGGAGAAAGTCGCGGAACTGGGGTCCGGTAGATCCGGTTGAAAACCAGAAGGATGTTATCGCAAGGGAGAAGGGAGAAGACAGGGCGGGTAATAGGGAGGGCGTTTTGATGGCAGGGAGGAGGAGGTGGAGGAGGATTATGATAGTTTGTTGACGATAGTCAAGTATGCGAAAAGAAGGGAGAAAAAAGTCCGGAGGGAGCAAGAGATAATTAAATAAGAAGAGACTATCTTAGGGTAACAGGGGTGTGCGAGCAGTGATTGCGTAGATATAGCATGAATGAAAGGGAAAAAAAAAATAATTATGGTAATGGAGATGGAAATGGAAATGAAAAGTAAAAAAAAAAAATTAAAAAGGAATAAAATAGAAAATCAATTAAAAAATAATAATTAAAAAAAAATGGAAATGAGCAAAAAGACTAGGATGATCTTCTCAGTTCCTTTTTCTGGAATAAATAAAAACATAAAACCAGACTAAAATCAATAAATCGAAATTACCTAAACCAACGCAAAAAGGAAATTAATCCAGATCATAAGCTTATGGGCCCCGGTTTTTCTTTGTTTAGCAGCGAGCGGCTCTCCCGCGTCCCCTGGTCCCGGAACAGGAACGCGCCCCCTTTCTGCGTTCTCCAACGTCTGTTAATCCCGGTAGTGTTGCAGTAGCGCCAGGGCGGATCGGGGCCTGATTTTTGCTATCGATGGTCTACTCTGTGGCCTCTGATCCATCACAATTAGATCGTGGATCTATCCAGTCTTGCCCCTCCCCCCTTGATATGTATCCATACTACAAAGTGCATAAGTGTTTGGGACTCCTCTGCTTCCCCTTCCCCCCGGGCCCAACAAACGAAAGTACCGTGCAGATGGACGATTCCCGACAGAGATCATCACCCTGATCCAGACGAGCTCTGGTACTCCACTGGAAGGGGAAGCTAGGAACCGAATCTCCGGGCTGCCCTCTTGCATAAGTGGAGAAGGGGGAGCAGCCGCAGGAACAGAAACGGATCCATCCGAACTGGACATCGGGACTCGCGTGGTCGGGCTCCATACGGACAGATGGTCCTTTTTTCTTACTGGATGAAGTTCTCGTCACTAGCCCTTCCAACCTTCTCAACCCTAATGCCAGGGGTCCCTTGGGCGCTGACATATGATGCCTAGGTACGGAATAGAGAGTCCATTGCCGGTAACTAGTCACCAACAGAACGAGCCACTTTGGATGTGTAGAGAATCGGTATCATCCCTGGCCAACCTAGGTAAGTACACATGTACGTAGGTACTTTCGCCGGTTGTCTCGTGGAGCTCTAGGCTCATCCAAAGATCCATCTGTCAAGTAATCAAGACCAGACATTCGGCTTTCTGAGCGGTCCGCCGTGCAGTCGTTTAGTGTACTCCTGTCCAGTCGAACACACTCAACACATCACAGGTAAAATCATAGGTCAAACTAATCCCAAAAATAACGAAACACAGCGAAAGACAAGAAACGATGAATAAAAAATGGGAAAACAGTCTCGGAAGCCTTGCTGTGGTCCCTTTCCCCTCCAATCGCCTGTCGCTTCAGTCTCCCCAGGGCCCCTTGGGCGCTTTTCGTCGCAGACACCTCCAAACAAAGCCAATCGACATCAGGCTTCCCCCTGATCACGCTCAGGTTTGAACGTTAGGTGATACTACTCATTTTTGTCTCATCCACGGATCACTCTATCGCTCGTAGCTGTCTCTTTTATTCCTTTCCCATTCTCTCACATTCGATCGATCCGAACTTGACTCCATCATAGGGGGTGGGCCCCCGCCACCTCTCAGGCGAGGGACCCATTATCGCCTGTGTATCGATGAATCAGAGCCTCTAGCGAGCCCACTCCCGGTCTCGGTTACGTATGAACATTCTTCTCGCCTTCTAGCCTTTCTAGTTTCCCAGGGTCTTGGGTCATGGTGAGGAGTATGGGCGTTACCAAAAGGTTTAGCCGTAAATTCTCCATGGAAACATTCTGGACTCCTTCTTTCTCCGTTCAAGCACTGCAGAAAACAGTTACGCCCCCCCAGCTCCACCCCCATATCCTGTCCCCCCTTTTACAGTATTCGCCATGTACATCTACGCGGTATCTTTGGTCCCGCCTACACTCAAGGGACGGAGTAAACTATGTTTCCATTCTGTACTCTCCGTACTCCGTTATACCAAGATATATTAAGGGTTGCAGCTGACGCAAATCACGGATTTCGCCACACTGGAGCCGCGCCGTGCATCCAGCCACAATCCTTTCCTCCGGTGGAGGGTGTGACGGGACATATCAGTCGCTGAGTCGTTGCGTCAGATCAAACGCGCCAGGTGTCCCTTTCCCCCCGGGCCTTTCCCCTGATGGTGGCTTTAGACAGTTAGGTTCGTAAGTCTGTTTCAGCTGTGTCACTGACTCCTCAAGCCCGGGGAAACTAGATACTCACTGATATTGAATCAATCTATTGAAATCGGGACCGGTGATCTACCGCGGAATATCCTCCTATCCTCCGGGGCCGTTAGCGAGATCGAGACGATACTGGTGAAACTTTGCTCCCCCACGCGGAAGTTGATCGCGAATATGTACATGGTACATATGGAGTAGGTCCGGAGTAATATTGTTTATCGAATTCGTTTTTCCGTTGCTGGGGTACTCACTCGTGTTGTCCCCAGCCGCTGATGGAGTTCTTCCCCATCCTTTCTCCAAGGGACCGTTTCCTATTCGCGATGATGGGACCAGTGCCCGAAAGACTGGCCCTGGAGGGATAGTGACGATGATCCTCTGTGGGGCGCACGCGGTAGAGTCGCCCCAAATAATGGGCCCGGCGGTATTTTACGTTGCACTAGGGCGACTCAATGCGGGCAGGACACGCAGTTCCGTCGGGGGTTTTGTATTCGTACGAAAAAAGCGGACTTGAAACTTACAGGAAAACGAGCTTCCTCTTCGTCCATGGTGGACCCGGCAACTGGGGGAAAGTCTCCATCTTCGGGAAGACCCCATTTCTCTTACAGCTAGAACCACGCTAGAAAGAAACGAAAGCCAAAAAAAACTCTCTCAGAGGAAGACCCAACTGTTTTTCTGATCGCTCAAATAGGAAGGCTTCTCAATCTTAATCAACTAGGCTCCTCTCGCCGGGCTCGTACTCCGTTCTCCCCGTTGGGTACCTTGTGTATGTTGTAGGTCGGTCTAGGTTCCCACCAAATTGAGGGCCATGATTTTCTGACAGCCTCTAACGGCCCGTCCTTTGATCCAAGGTTCTGGTTCTGTTGGTTCCCTGGGTTTCTACACTACTAGTAGGCTCTATCCCGAGCCGATCCTGTCGGATGAGCTCGCCACAGCGGGTTCCTGGATGCGTCTCCAGAGTGCGGCTCGATGCATTAGTTCTCCCGCTGAAACAAGGTTTAGCTGGATTGCATGAACTGGACTGTCGTTCTTCTTTGTTCAACTCCGTGGATCCTTAACCCACCAAACCATCGTCGATCCTTGCCTGCATGGAGCACATAAAACAGCTGCAGAGTACGGAGGACATGTACAACGTACAGACATCTCTTTGGCGTAGTGCATGTATGGAATAAAGCATCATAGATAGAAATCAGATATGAAAAATTTCCGATCGGGATACCGTATATAGAAACATCGCTGCCGTCCCGTGCGTAGACGCAGTCCGCTTGCATGGTGGCGCTGGGCCAGGACCAACTGGAAGCGAAGAAGCAAAGCCGACGCCGCACCCTGCAGATTGAGCACCATCAAGCAGGGGACCACCTGGATCTTCTTTGTTTTGACAGCCGTCGATCGATGTGTCAATCCCTCAAAAATGCGGCCTTGTCTAGGTACGCGTACTTTGCTTTCATTGTTTGTTCCAGACGGGTCATTCGCCCAAAATTTACAACCACAGGGATGTGATTTCAGAGTGGCGTAGCTAGGGCTGCGCGGAAGTGAAGCCGGACGATCCTAGCGAGGATTTTCCTGGAAATCCAGCTCCATAAACAGAATCATTCTGGAACAAGTGGAATCCAAGTTTGATCCACCATGTCCACCCAAGTCCACCTTTTCCTCCACCGTCGCTGGGCCTGGAGCTCACAAGTCCGCTGTGCTCCGCAACGGCAATCGTGAAAGGAAAGAGACAAGCAAAGAGGAAAAGAAAAGAAATGGACCTGCACCCACCCGAGTGCTTGGAACCTGTAAAGACTACTGTATGATCCACGATGCATCTGTAGGCCGAATAGCCCGGGATCTAAGGTGGCTAGTATCTTCGCCGTACTCCGTAAAGTAGGGCTACTTCCGGAACTCACCACACCTCTACTTCCGCACATAATCGTAGTAAACCATCATTCGTTCACCCCTTTTTGAATTAACCAATCCCCTCAAGTCTTGCTAGTTCGATAGTTGAGATCACCGGAAGACCGCACCGCGGCGAGACCCGCGATGGAGATCCTTTGTCTGCACGCCGCTCTCCGTCAAGCCAGCCGGAAACCATCCAGTGGAGTTAGTGGTTCCATTTTGGGAAACGAGTGACAGCCTCCAATCCTCCAAGCTTCCAAGCTTCCCAGGTGCCAGGCGAGCAGTATGATGATGATCGCTCCCTCTCCACGGCCCCAACACCCACCATGTCGGGTTCGATCGTCCATCCTTTCCCTCCCTGCCGGGTCAGCCGCCCCTGACTTTCCCTCTCTTGCGTTCTCCATTCTCCATATCGCGTCGCCCTAAAGTACTGTGACGCAGGTCCAGCCTCGAGGCATGGGGGGAGGGGCCACAACCAGTATCTTTGCCCTCGATCGAGCCAAACACAGTACAATATGGATACACTTCACGCCAGTGCGACCCACCAAATGAGCCAGAAAAGAGCTAAAGAGGGTCCGGCTCCTTCGTCAGGGGTTCCGCGACCAGTCGAATGCTAACGCCTGATGTTTCCATCCCGCTAGTGGAGATTCACAGCTTCCAGATGTGCGCCCCCGAGGAAATGAGAGGTTGGGAGAGGCAAAAAAAATCAACCCCCTGGGATCAGGGAAAAAGGAAAGAAGTGGCTGTCACGCCAGATCGGTCGCGCGCATTGCGCCCAAATGCAGAATGACACACCAAATCTGAAAAGCACGACACTTTGGTGGTGCATTGCATTGTCGATCGAGAGGACTTGGGATAGTACTGCATCCTGGCTGCAGAGTACTCGACATGGAGTACATCTCCGTACATGTCCAACCACTGTGCCGGGCCACATCGTCTCCAAGATTGACTGAAGGTGACATACATGCTGCATTCGATCGACTGCACCATGCACTTCTGTACAACCGTGCAGGGAGAGATCAGAAGTACGAAGGGCTGAGAGGCGCTTATGCAGCCTAAACCTGCACTCCGTACATGAGAGGAGGACCTAAAAGATCCCACCGCTAAGGTTAGACTCGGATCTGCCGACTGCTATTATCTTGCAGATCCGCGCTATCTTCTGTTGGTTCACATTGATCTCCTCGGAAAAGCAGATTAATCTCACTCAGCGATCGACCAATCTCATGCTGCTCCCGATAAGAATATCTGCTTTCCCTACCCGCATCGTGCATTACACTAGGGGATCAACCTTGAGGAGGAGCGGGGAAGCAGATTCCCCCCCGACGCAAGCTGTCGAATCTGCCCACTTGAGCCCGATTGATACATCACATTCATTCCTCTGGTGGTGGGTTGCCGCCCAATGACATGGTGGGCGGACACTCCGACCGCCTGATCTTCGGCCAGGTTTGACTGAAAGATGCATTGGTATGCAGGGACCTATCGAGTCCCCTACCCAAGAATGACAAAAAAAAAGAGACTGGGACCGGTGTGAGGCGCAAAAAGTTGACGAACTGTGCGCTGCGTTCCTGAACCCTATTTTACAAGACACTACATTTCTTGACGCGTCGATTGCTTTTCCACCAGTCATGTTACCTTTCACAAACACTCAAAAAAAGAAGTTTAAATGTGAACCTGTCACATCTGGATTTGGAATTAAATATGTACAGGCCATATTCAACAATCGTACTTATGTCCTGTCGCCGTCCTTTAGTCCCTCTCTTGAAATCGCCTCCTCGCCGGAAATCAAGATCGTGAACAGACAATGTGGTATGCCATTTCGAACTGCGGATTTCCGATTAGCAAGCAATATCTTTAACCTTCTCCCCGTCTTGAGATTGACTCACCTGTTCATTGGTCTGGCAAATCAGCGTGCGGGGCCCCTTGCCGCCGCCCTTGGAGATATCCTTCACGGTCTGATCCTCCTCCACCCCCTTTGTCATTAGCGTCGGAGTCAATCGCCACGCCTAGACTCGAACATTTCTCGGCCAATATTCGCCGTAATAGCGAACTCTTCTCGCCAATGCCGCCGGCGAAAACGAGCGCATCGACCTCGCCCCCCAGCTTGACGTAGTAGTTTCCAATGTATCCCAAGATGCGGTCAACGAGGATATCAAAGGCAAGCTTGTGAGCCTCCGACGGCGGGTTTTCAACTGCAATTTGCGAGAAGTCCGTGGTTCCGGTCAGAGCCTTCCAGCCTGATTTCTTGTTGAGTATTTCCTCTGCCTAATTATGACGCCGCAAGTTAGTGGCCAGGAAATGGCGAACAAAGAAAGGGCTAACTTCTCACCATGCTTAGATGCATGTCTTTGGTGCTCGCGGGACTCAATTTCCCGGCCTCGTTTGTATAATGGAACACTAACCTACAAGAACGAGGACAGTCAGCCTTATTATTCGCACGAGGATCTACCATCAGCATTATGGGAATCACTCACGAGGGATCAATATCTCCACTTCGTGTCGCTCCAGGCAAGCCGGCCAGGGGTGTGAGGCCCATTCTATCCGTCTGTTAGCGTTTAATTCTCACGGGTCTGCCAAGGTGGGTATCTCACGAGGTATCGATGGATTTGCCCTCCTTGATCGCACAGATCGAAGCACCACTTCCAATGTGCATAACAATCAAATTGGTTTTCTCCGCCGGCTTGCCCAAGAATTGAGCCACGGAGCGAAGAATGAACGAGTAGCTGATTCCGTGGAACCCGTACTTGCGCAGTCCATTAGCTTTGGCGATTTGCTGGTTGATTGGGTATGTCTTCACATGAAGAGGCATTGTCTGGTGGAAGGCCGAATCGAAGAATGTTATGCTTGCCACACTTGGAAGTTCTTTCTTGCATAGTCGAATGATTTCTAGTGCAGAGAAGTTATGTCTGTTGCCCCAAAGAAATTGTCAATATACACATCACAGTCTTGTTGGGTTGATTCTTGTTTTCTCCACGTACAGCGGTGCTAGGTCTTCTAGTGCTTCGAGACGATGAAGTGTATCGTCATTTATCTCAATCTCTTCGAAATTGTCGCCGCCATGAACGACTCGGTGACAGATGTACGCGAGATCATTGTCGCTAGCAACCTCGGATAATTCGGGATCGCTGAAGCAGCGCTGGAGGATGTACTTGAAGGCATCTTGCGGTGTGGCTAAATTTTCCTGTGGTTGTTCCTTCTGTTTAAACTCGCCCCGCTGGTATTTGAAGGTGGCAGGTGGCGCTGTGATGCCGGACACTTGCGCATCGGCGATAGCGCGCGGGGGGTTTGTGAATGTATAGAAGGTCACTTTAACCGAGGACGAGCCAGCGTTGACGGCCAGAATAGACTTGGCCATAGCAGCTACACGCCAAACTGGTTCAACAGGTCTCTGTCGCAAGAATGAGGTGAGAGTGGTTCAAATGGATCTTGGATGGGCGACCGGCGTTGTGAAGGTGATGTCAGGATGGCCGTTGTGACGTCGACCGGAAGGGAAAAGGCGGATAAAATACCCCCCCTATCAACCGGTTATGGCCAGACCCCATGGCATGACCCATGAATGTGGTAATTGTCTGATAAATGCGTCCGATTTGTTTTCACAATCCCTAATTCTCAACAATCGATCATTCAATCAATCTGTTGCCCTTTTGAGCCGTTTTACATCTATATTTTTTATACTTCGTGCGGATCCCGTCGCTTCCGCCGCTCCCGTGCCGATCATATCGTACCATCGGGGAGAGCCTTGGTTCCCTAACCACTCGTAACTATGCCTGGCGAAGTCATTGACCATCCAAATCCGGCGCCGCTACCTTCGCACCTGCCTGAATGCCTAGAGAAGCTGGAGGTTCGGCTTCCTTTCCGAGACTCTTAAATCAAGAAGCATGCGATGCCTTGTTGAAATTCCGGAAAGCGGCTTCGTACATCGCAGCAGGTAAGTCAAATTACAGAGACTTTTTTTATTTATTTTTCTTTTTATTTCTAAAGAAAACCTTTAAAACAACTGACTCATTTGCAGCGATGATATTTTTGCGTGATAATACTCTTTTGAAGAGAGACCTCAGCGCTGACGATATTAAGCCCCGTTTGCTTGGTAAGCACATCTTCTGTTTCCTCAATCTATCATCATATGATATTCATACAGTCTACTTAGGACATTGGGGAACATGTCCAGGTCTGATTTTGGTATATTCACACCTCAATTATCTGATCAGAATGAAGGACCTTGATATGCTCTATGTTGTTGGCCCAGGACATGGCGCTCCTGCAATATTGGCCTCTCTATGGCTGGAAGGCTCCTTGGAGAAGTTCTATCCAAAGTATTCTCGAGACTCCCAAGGTCTTCACAATCTGATATCCTCATTTAGCACAATGGCTGGGCTTCCAAGGTCGGTATCTTTAAGATATCATCTCACTTCCCGAACAATCTAACATTTTCGCAGTCATATCAATGCCGAAACGCCTGGTGCTATCCATGAAGGTGGGGAACTGGGTTATGCCTTGGCTGTATCATTTGGTGCTGCCATGGACAACCCTGATCTTATTGTTCCTTGTGTCATTGGAGACGGCGAAGCTGAAACCGGTCCTACGGCTACGTAAGTCCAACCGTTCACATATCTTCATGGTTGCAATCCTGACCAGAGTAGGTCTTGGCATGCAATTAAGTATCTGGACCCCAAGGAGTCTGGGGCTGTTCTACCTATCCTTCACGTCAATGGCTTCAAAATTAGCGAGCGCACGATATTTGGTTGCATGGACAACAAAGAGCTCGCAGCCCTGTTTTCTGGATACGGATACCAGGTCCGCATAGTGGAAGATATTAATGATATCGACACGGATCTTCACTACTCCCTTGCCTGGGCTTTGGACCAAATCCACAAAATCCAGCAAGCTGCTCGATCTGACAAGCCAATTCTTAAGCCCAGGTGGCCGATGCTTGTTTTGCGCACTCCGAAGGTAGAAAGACTTGTCCAAATAATTTTCGACGATCTTGAAAACTGATTTCCTTTTATAGGGATGGTCCGGACCAAAACAACTTGATGGTCACTTTATCGAAGGCTCTTTTCACTCCCATCAAGTGCCATTGCCAAAGGCCAAGACCGACAAAGAGCAGCTGCGTCTCTTACAGAGCTGGCTTTCCGGTTATCAGCCACGAGAACTCTTCACAGAGATGGGTGACGTTGTAGACGAGATCAAATCCGTTATACCAACCAATAATTCGAAGAAATTGGGCCAGCGAATTGAGTCATACAAAAGTTATATCCCACCAAAGCTTCCAGTCTGGCAAAAGCTCTGCGCCAAAAAGGGGTCAGAGGAGAGCGCCATGAAAGCAGTTGGCAGATTCATCAATGAGACCTTTATCCAGAATCCCCGCAATGTTCGACTCTTCTCCCCCGATGAGCTGGAGAGCAACAAGCTCGACGCCGTGTTTGAGAGTACCAATCGCAACTTCCAGTGGGATGAATTCGCCAATGCGCGTGGGGGTCGAGTTATTGAGGTTCTCAGCGAGCACTTGTGTCAAGGTTTCCTGCAGGGGTATACCCTGACGGGTCGCACAGGCATCTTTCCATCATACGAGAGTTTCCTCAATATAATTCACACAATGATGGTCCAATACGCCAAGTTCACTAAGATGGTAAGTTTAATCCATGCTTTTCCTTTCGACTCGCTCGCTAACCTACTGACCAGGCCAAAGAAACCCAATGGCGTTGTTCGATCAGCAGTATCAACTATATAGAGACCAGCACTTGGACACGTCAGGAGCATAACGGATTCTCTCACCAAAATCCCTCGTTCATTGGTTCTGTCCTTAACCTGAAACATACGGCTGCTCGCGTCTATTTGCCGCCAGACGCAAATACTTTCCTCACAACGATCCACCACTGCTTGAAGTCAAAGGATTATGTCAATCTGATGATTGGCTCTAAACAGCCGACACCCGTATACCTGACGCCGGAGGAAGCAGAAAATCACTGTCGTGCAGGAGCGTCTGTCTGGAAGTTCTGTAGTACAGACGACGGACTAGATCCCGATGTGGTGCTGGTGGGTATTGGCGTTGAGCTTATGTTTGAAGTTATACAAGCTGCTGCGCTTCTAAAACAACGCATACCATCCCTGCGAGTCCGCGTGATCAATGTGACTGATTTAATGATACTTGGTAACGAAGGAGAGCATCCTCATGCCCTGGAAACTGAGGCATTCGACAATCTTTTTACCAAGGATAGGTCTATCCATATTAATTATCATGGCTACCCGGCTGAAATGAAGGGGCTACTATTTGGTAGGCCCCGACTTGAACGTGTCTCGATTGCCGGGTACATGGAAGAGGGCAGCACGACCACTCCCTTTGATATGATGCTCGTAAATCGTACCTCGCGCTATCATGTTGCGCAGGCAGCTGTACGGGGCGCAGGAAAGTACAACGAAAAAGTTCGTGTCCGTCAGCACGAATTAGATGCTGAGTTCCAGAATAATATTGTTCAGACTCGGAAGTACATAATTGAACATCAAGAGGGTAGGTTTCTGTTCCTGGGCTTACTATTCTATCCACCTTAAATTTACTGTCAAGCTAACACACTTTCTAGATCCGAATGAGATGTACGATATGCCAACTTTCAAATAGAACGATTCAAATGGAGTTTTCGCTCTTCTGAGACCTTTCAGCCAGAACCCATGGATTACTAGTCCATGGTTAGCTACTTTCTCCAGTACGATCAAGAATTTAGAGCCACGTATGTCTAGTTTGGTTCAGCACGATGAAAACGAACGTAGAGAGAGGCGATAAATGCGAGTCACGAAAAGAGCTAGCATCTCTAGATTGGATCATAGTTAAGTACATTTCAGCAAGCTTCGTATCTTCCTCTGCGGAGTCTGTCTTCTCTTCGCTGCATCCTGTCATGTCTCCTCTGAGCCCTGCTCTCCGTCGAATCCCTGGAATCCTCTGAATATCCGGTATGAAGTCTAGAAAGACCCATACTATTGGACACTATTTCTGAAGCATCTCGGCACTTCCCTGGTAAATACCAGATTGCCCACGCCCCCAGAACTACCGCCATTTGATAGCCATCAAATGCATATGACGGCCATTCGTTGACAACAAGAAATTCGACCCCACCATTCATGGTCAATCGCATGATATTACGACCAAATGCGATGATAGAAACTGCAAGTCCAAAAAGTTGGCTCCAATACTTCCAGGTTGGAAATGCTGATTTGCTGGTCTCTGACAGCCCACGGCGCAATCGTATTGTTATATACGTATTCTCTGCGAGAGTAAAGAGCCAAAATACCAGTTGGATTACAAACATTGCAATTCCGATTTTAGCTCCGGCTTCAATGATTGTGAAGTTGGTTGATGAAACAGTCATAATAGCTCCAATGCCTTGAATGAGAGCCAAGATTGTGTTCATACTGAGGTATAGTGGACGCTGTACGTTGACCGGAACCCAACAGAACCTCTCCGCGCTCAGAGCGCGAGTAAATTCAGTCATGGCCAAATTGACGGAGAACATAATCAAAGTCGGTCCCACTAGTAGTAAAACAGATTGGATACCGTAGGCGACTCGATTGCACGGGTTCTGTGTTGAAAATATGCGCGCTGTATACCCCGATGTTTGTGCTGTAAACAGTCAGAAATTAATTCCGGCGCATACGACCCTAGGTACTAGGTGTCATGCTCAAGGTTTGATCTCAGGACCTACCGACGCCTCCAAAGACAAAGTATATACCGCTCCATGTCCCAGCTCTAGTCATGCGGAGGAAATGAATCGTCGTCAACACCGAAAATATGATGGTAGCCACCAATGCCAGAGGCAAGCTGGGTGTATATAGGTATAGCTCGCATTGCACAGATTCCATCTCCAAGAGAAAGATATTCAGCTCAAAATTCGTTATATGGGAGATGGAGGTGGACAGATGATTGTAATGATTGCGATGAAGGTTGCAGTCATTCGAGAATCTCTTTATAACCTTGGAACTTGAAGGATTCAACAATAATTTAGGCAGAAATATAGTATCGAATAGGTATGACAGGGGGAAAGTTTAAGGAGGTTAAATATTCGAAAAACGTGCAGCGGTCAGGTTTTCAAGTTGAGATTTATGTTTGAACCTTACATTTGACGTTCTCCATAGCTCGAGATCTTCAAGTTCATTGCTTGCTCGAGGCTGGAGATCGACAACCCGCTAAGCCTCAGGGTATGTGGATGCCTATTTCAAAATAGATAACTGGATGGAAATAACGTTATATCCATTAATTTTTGGTTTAACTCAGATTTTACGTTGATCTTCAAAAAAATCGAGGGATGCCAAGCTTATTTTTGTTTTAGCGGTGGAAACACTGCTCGGGTTCGGACTTTATGAGATATGATTGGATCCGGTAGTTCAAGCGTCTCCACCTCAACCACCCTACATTATCGATGTCCTGCGCTAGCATGTAGCAACTCTAGAACACTGATAGCGGATGCGAGAAAGGTGGAGCCTATTTCAACCAAAAAAAAGAATCCCTCATGCCGCCTATTAACCCGGTCTAGCCTTTAACACAAGCAACCACTTGTAACCTCCATCCAATTAGTTGCCAAACTATATTTCGGCTTAGCACTCATGTATAGGCAACATATTGCCTCAGGATTAGATAGATGGCTTGTATACGGAAATGGTAGTGAAAGTATCTATCACAACTCCCTCCCCAGGTGTCAGGTGAATATTCCGAGTCGCGTAGTATACTACAGGTGAGAAAACCCCTTTCAAAATCTTCGTTTCTTTCGTTTTCCTTTTTCTTTCTATCTCATTTTCCCCCAGCCGCAGGCGCAGGGACTTAAGATAAAGATCCTGCCCTTTCAGTGAGGGTTGTCGCAATCGTGGCCGGGCAGCGGCTCAGTCTAAGCCCTCGGACTCGTACTCGGGTTCGGACCAAAATCCGAAAACTTACTTTTACCTTCAGATAGACTACGAATATTAGCTAAACCAGGCAGGATAAACATAAAACCAATTCTTGCCACAGGCTCTTCATTCGATGATGCCTGGAAATGTACCTAGTTTTTAACTCATTGAGATTTTTATCAGGGCAAAATTGTTATCATCCCAACATACTTAAGTATCGAGTTGTCTGCCAGATCCTGTAGAATTCAGACCTCAACCATTCCAACCGAACTCGAGACTTCCAGATCCGCCCAAGTCAACATTTTCATCTTTGGCCATGGCATCTTCTACCTTCGTGCTTTACCATTATACCCCTACCCTGATCGGTGCGGTGGTGTTCGCTGTGTTATTTTTCTTGACCACGGCCTTCCACCTTTACCAACGAATCCGAGCGCATGCTAAATACTTCAACCCGTTCATTGTCGGAGGAATATGTAAGCCAAACGCGGTCCTCAGCAATAATTCCGTGCCTAGCATTTTCTAATTGCAAGCGCAGTCCAGATTATCGGCTATGCAGCTCGTGCCGTCTCTCATTTCCATACAACAGCGACCACGCTATATGCCATGCAGACCCTATTTATTCTGTTGGCACCGACCCTCTATGCGGCATCCATCTATATGGTTCTAGGAAGAATTATCACATCCCTAAAAGGAGAACATTTGAGCTATGTGCCTGTTCGATTCATGACCAAAATCTTCGTCATGGGAGATGTGCTCTCCTTCGTCCTTCAAGGTGCAGGTACGCAGGACGATACAAGACCCTTTAATTATTGATTTATATCGGACTAATTTTAATTTCCCTCAGGTGGTGGCGTCATGAGTAGCAGTGGATCTGCAAACCTCCTGGTGGTAGGCCAGTGGATCATTGTCGGGGGTCTCTGCGTCCAACTCGTCTTCTTCGGTGCTTTCTTGATTACCTCTATCATATTCAACTGCCGAATTATCCGATCACCCACAGAAGAATCCCAAATCTCGGTTGCCAGTGGGTTGATCCCGCGGGACTGGCGAGGACTTCTCTTCGCACTATATACTGTTAGTGTGTTGATCTTGATTCGATCCATTTACCGTGTCGTCGAGTTCGTTCAAGGAAACAACGGTTATGTGATTGGCCATGAAGTTTTTCTCTACGTGTTTGACGCCTCAATGATGTTCTTGGTCATGATAGTGATGAATGTCTTCCATCCATCCGTTGTTTTGCGATCAAACAACACCCCAGGCACAAAAGAACCACAGGGCTCACCAGCCGAAAGCAAACTCACTTCTGCCGAGCTGCAATGCTAGTTAGGTGAGATGTGTGGGTCATACAATTTAGTATCAAATGAGAAATGAAGGAACGCATAGACGGCGTCTGCGGAGTAAATTGAGTTAATTTTTTCACTTTTCTTTTCATTTTTCTATGTCTTATTTGCGCCAATGTCTATTCAAAACTAGCTTAGGTATTATATCCGATCTTCTAGATTTCGGGATAGAAAAGGCTGTACCAGGCTAACAATTACTACTCCGTTTTGTCAATTTATTCTTTCGTCGCAAATAGAACTGCTAGGCGGCAGCGTTTCATAATGGATAATTTTACCTACTAGTACTATAATACATGGCTCTGCCATCCCCTCGTTGAAGCTATTCTACTTCTTATAAATTGCTTGATCTTAACAACTCAGGTACGTAACTGTGTAGGATACCAAGTACTGTAGTATAATTTTTATTACCGATGTATACGATTGTTGATCGTCCCTTTCCGAGGTTTCCAGTGCTGCCTCTGCTGCCGTTCGGTAGTCACTATGGGATGCTCTTCCCTGGTTAAGTGATTCCCATTCACTGCCAGTTAGTACGAGCACAATATTGGCTCTCTAACAACAACCATTTGCTCTCTACCAACCCTGCAGGCACAGCTTCGCATTGCTGGTCTATCGGTAGTTTCAATCGGTAGAATTCGACACTGCTCGCCCTTATTACCATCTCGGCCACACTGTAACGAGCTTGCTCCAGCGATGGACCAACCTCAGGAACAGGGACCTCCCGGTCCTTTCCATGCTCTTTATTTAGCTGCGAAGGAGACGACGACTGTCTTCGTTCGGTAAAATATCTGCCATGGTTTTATCGGCGGATACGCGACTTTCCTCATCGGCGGAGCTAGAATAACAAAGGTACACCTTTCCTATATAGCGTTACTCACGATCGCTCTGGCTAATTTGGCCTACCCTGGAGGACGTCGAGGTTATCATTGATGCAGACCCGAATGGCGCGAGAGGCCTGCTTCTTCAGGCGGGTTCCGGGTTCTCACTGACCATGGCTAACAAGCTGTTCTTCACAACCGGGACCCAAAGAATTATAGTTGAACTTCTTCGCGCTGGTAGCACTTGCTATTTGAGATTTCCTGACGTAATGACTATTTCCCTTCTTACTCTTACTGTGAGTGGCCGTCCAATGTGCGTTGGGAAGACCCCCAGTGAGTGGCCTTTCAGCTTCTTTATTTTCTAGTAGAGCAAGTTTCCTCTAATCGTCTTTTTATTGTCCCTATCGTAACTCCCTCCGTCCTCGTCCTGATCATAATCAAAAGATGGTCAGTCATATCCAAGTCTGCCCGTCCTCGGAGAATCGAAAAGGCAGCTACCGACATGGAGGACGTTGAGGAGCTCCTAAATTGGCTCGCTAGAGATGGAGTTAAAGTCAACTTCGAGGGTTATCCCAAAGAGGCGGAGAACTATCTCCTCTCTGCAGTCCGCAAGTTGTATCAGATGAAGGCTTTTATCCGCCCTCTACTCCGGGCTACACTGGAGGAGGAGCATTTTCGTTTCGTCAGCAACTAGATAGCTGCGGAATAAACCGACAGTCTTGCACCACAGCCTCGGCAATTTTCACATAGTTATTTCCAGCAGCAACACAATCCCAAGCTCTCATTACCGTCACCGCGTATTCAACTCGTGTCTGAAAATCCTCTTCGCTTTCCTCGGCGTCGAATTCCAACTCTCCATCCTTTGTACTGAGAGGCTTGTCACGTAGAGTGTAAAAGGATATGAAATACACTAGATCGGCTTCAACTCGAAGTATCGCTGGTGGGAGGCCGAGGGGTCTACTAAATAGGTATTTGACCAAATCAAGCAACAGATTACGGCCCTGTTCAAAAGTACTTGCGATCGGTTCCAAATCAAGTTTCGCTTTGTTTCATGTATACTCGTCGTATGGAAACGAGGAAATCAAGGTGTACTACGCCAGCGGTACCTTAGCCGCAAGTCATAAGTCAGCAAGCAGTGGAACGCGACGCCCAAGAGATATTGACCTTTAGCCCATGTCGTGCGATACTGGCGATAAGCCTCAAAAGTTAGAATATCCCATATCTAGAGCCTCTTCTCCCAATTTCATGTACATGCATGAGATGGGCCTAGCCACATCACTCTCCCGGACACGGACATTACAATCGGACACGGACACGGGGTTCGTCGGATCGGATAAAGAGGACTCAGAAAATCGCCTCGAATCCTAGAGGATTCGGTGACAGTTGGACCGTGAGCCCCATCGACGCTAAGCCTACTAGGGATTATCTTGCGAGGCGGGACTGCTATTCGGACCGAACTCCCACCCAGATCTAGCTTTCATATGGTTCCTGTGCTTTGATGCTATATCTGATAGGGCACAAATTCAATGTCGCATGGCGTGGCTGATCCACTTCTTCCGAGTTCAACCCCCACCTTATAATGATTTTTTCCCCTCTGTGCTATTCCCGCCGGGATTATGTGCATAAATCCGCCATCGAGCATGAATTTTTCGAGGCATCGCGAGTCATGATTGGCTTCCTCATCGGCTGGGCATGGCTTATGGCCGGGCGCCGTTGTAGGTAGTGGAGGGCGTCTCAAGTCAAATACCTTGCGAGCCCATTTGCTGACCTAGGGTTAGCGCCGCTGCTCAGCCTTGATACTACTAACATACCCTACGAGTACGAGTATTTGTTAATTTGTTAAGTGCTTCGTCCCGGTAGTTACTGGCAGACTCTCTCTCTCAGCGTATTTTCGCCTTGTTTTGCTACTTCCAATCTTGAGTCCATTGTGCACTCTGGCAACAAACGACGAAACAAACGGCTATCCGCCGGTATCCGAAGCACCACGTCCTTTTCATAATAACACTGGCAATAACTCGCACACTACTGTTGCCTCACATTCTTTTCGCCGATATATAACCCCACCGAGGCTCTTGTCATATACTTGACTCTAGTATACCATGGACAGACAGGAGCTGTTCATTGGTTGTCATGCCAAAATTGAAGGAATTGAAACGTCCTACGGATATGTCCCAACCCTTGGAGCCGGAATCGCCTATTGCGTTCTTTTTGGAGTTTCGATGATCTTACACACGGCCCAGTTCTGTTGGACGCGAACATGGTGGGCATCTGTCTTCAGCATTGGATGTCTCGTGGAAGTCATTGGATGGGCCGGTCGAACTTGGTCCGCTGAGTGTCCATACAACTCGACGTCGTTCCTAATGCAAATTTCCACCCTTATTATCGGTGAGTCGCAATGATAGAACTACTTACTACTGTTCCAGCCCTACTAACTCGAATGCTTCCAGCCCCAACATTCTTTACCGCTGGTATCTATGTCATCCTCGGCCGGTTCATTCAAATCCTGGGCCCCGAGTCCTCCATCCTCCGGCCAAATCTATATCTCTGGATCTTCTGCACCTGTGATGTGATATCGCTTGTCGTCCAAGCAATCGGTGGCGGCTTGGCCTCTGGCCAAGCAGGTAAAATCGGCGGCAATACGGCCCCCGGAACCCACACCATGGTGGCCGGTATCGTCTTTCAACTATTTTCCATAACCATCTTCGTCATTTGCGCTGCAGATTTCGTTCGTCGCTGTATACGTCTCCGTCTTCTACAGAACTTGACCGGCTCCGCTATCCCTCTTTTCGCCGCGACGATCCTCTCCGTGGTTTGCATCTATATCAGAAGCATATATCGTACGATCGAGTTGTCCCAGGGTTGGTCAGGCTATTTGATTACCCACGAAAGCTATTTTATTGCACTGGACGGTGCTATGATGATTGTTGCTGTTGCGGTCTTCAACGTTCTTCACCCTGGTTGGCTTCTGCCTCAAAACCGGAATTCTTCGAACAAGCGGGGTGCTTCCTCTGTTGATGAGGTTGAGCTGAACAATTCATTTGAACAGCAGCATGGTCACGGTGTTTAGGGGGTCTCATTTTTACTTCACTTTGTATATCCGAGTCATTTTGCGTTTGTTTCAAATACCCGCTACGCAGATAGATGCATCACTCACAAAACATAGAATATTTTTCAAGTTTCGGCTTCCAAGTTTGTTAAAGATGATGATGATCGTTAGTTTCCCAGCCAAGAAAGACCACACGAGATAAAGTAAGGTATCGGATTGAAAACTACAAAAACATGATATAAAGATAAGCGCAAGACACAAGGTCCAATATGGGTAAAAACAGGTGACCGTCTCAACATAAGAGGGGATAGCCTCTGAAAACACTTCCGACGAATCTGTTCAAAACGCCAGGCAGTAGGATTAAAACTTAGAGCATAATCAAATCGCGTTCCACTCCAGATGCCATTTGAAAGAGGCATCAACTCATTGCGGGCTTATAACATCACAAATCATACGCCATCCACGGCTTCGATCCAACCAAAGGTAGCACCAATAGCCAAAGTGGATACAGCCCAGACACTGCCCCAGGTAGCCGCACCTTGAATAGAGACATCCTGGATTGTACCGGCAATTTGCACAGTGGTGTTAAGCAAAACGCTGGTCGCAAGAATGAGCGTTCGGGAGATAAGGATACGAGTCTTGATAGACAGTTGGCCCCAGGTCTTGCGGTAGAAATCCACAATCAAGTACTCGTGCTCGCGGTTTGCGGGGTGTTCTTCCTCGGCGGTCTTCTCGGCGTGACCAGTTGAGCTGACGAACAAAAAGTCACGCACGGCATAGCCGGAGGGGATGAGCGTTAAGAAAAGAGCGGGAAACCCGGCAGGACCAGCATGGGCGGCGCTGATGTCCGGGAGGTTTTCGAAGTGCACGACGAGTTGGGCAGGGAGCCACGACGCATAGCTACCATATAGCACAACGCTGAATATCGAAGTCGCGGCGAGGATGGTATAGATGGTGGTGGGGGTATCCTGTAGGATAGCTCGGTTGGCCACTGCACCAGACGGCGCATGGGAGATATCGTGAACCGAAGTGGGTCGACGTAGAAACGCAAATGGGACGACAGTTGAAATAATCGTTATCAAATATGAGGCGAGAGTCGAAGTTGGTCGCACGCCATAGAAGAAAGAGAGGAGCGAGAAGGTGGGTTGGTGGGTTAGGAATAGGAATGATGCGACATCCCAGCCTACGATCGCAAATCTCCAGTTAGCTCGAATTCTTACATTGAGAAGCTGCAGCTTCCCCTGCTGCGCTTTTCCAAAGTCAAGAATGATTCACGTACTGTCAAAACCAAGAACCCAGGCCAATCCGACCTCCGCCGCTTTCCAAGCCACAAGTCCCCCCCACTTCCCACCATTCCTCCAGGTGTTTGCTGACCAGACCAAGGTCACCCTGAGTGACATCTGCAGTCAAGGTAAATAGGACGGAGCTCATGACCAAGCTGCTAAATACGACCAGGGCAAAGCGAGCTGGTGAGGGGACGCGCGCCAGCGACGGCGAAGGAGCCATTGCTGTCAGAGCATCTTTGGGGTCGCGCACTTGAGAGGCGGGCACTGCGAGGTCGTTTACCGACGAAGTTCTCTTTTTCGGAGCCATAGCGAGCTTCAAACTATCAATGGCAAGCAGTAACTGCAGGAAAAGTGAGGTTGCACGCAGCGACGGAGGAAAAAGGCAGGCGTGGAATGCGGTGTGAGTGCGTGATGATGTCACTACTGAAGCTTCCAAGGTCACGTCCGCCAATTTCAAGGCCAACGACGATTTTACATCCGAAACCAAAGAACTGGGTAAAAAATAGAAATTTGTTGAACCGTGTTTGGAAAAGAAAGAAAAAATTACATAGAAAGGTTGCCCCGGTCATATGATTTATTCCTGCTCTTCTTTCTCGCTCTCGGCCACAGCGAATTCTACTGTTCCGCTCTCGTTGCCTCTGTTATCCCGCACAACAATGCGGTATTTGCCTTGATTCCAGAGATCCTTAATGGTAAGCTCTCTGGTGCGGCCGAGACTCTCAATGTCACCAATACGTTGCAAGGTGCCTTCCAGATGTTCGTCAAATCCTTCAACAGCGCAAATCTCTCGGAATGCGAGCTGCATAGGAACGGAATCGGCGCGTACCATCGCACGCGAATCGATGGTAAAGATATTATCGTGATCATAGGCTTGAATGAAGTCGGCGCGCGTCATAATTTCGCGCGCTTCGTGGAGAGGAATCTCAGGCAAAATGTGACCTCTCTCGGAGTCGTAGGTCTTTTCCATCTCCTTCTCACGATCCACCAATGCCTTGGCCAGGACCATGGCAGCGGACTGGATGCAATATTAGTATACCGCAATAATCCTCCTGAGTTAATGGGTTCGCCAGGATAGCGACTTACCGAGTACTTTTGCTCGTCCATCACATCATCATCCATCTCCATTCCAAGGATCCAGCACTTGTTGAGTACCCAAGTTTTTTCGGCTCGGCAAATCTCATTACAAGTCTTGACGATGTCGGGAGATTTGGCTACTCGATTCAGAAAAGAGAGGCGACCGCCCACCTTATCGTAGACTTCCTCTAGAGTCTTGGATGGTAGGTTCTCGCCGTAGAACCGATTGCGGTACCTTTTTAGAGCAGTCATGGCCTTGTCCTTGGGCAGATCGGTGACAGGAATGAC